TTCCTGTTTACAAGACTTCAGAGGCCGCTTTACAAGCAGAAAGGAATCCAGAGAAGTATCATACACATTTTGCTATGAACTTCAAGAAATTCCGTTTTTCTGCAAGGATTGTGTGGTATTTGATTGACCGTGACAGGAATCATTTAGAGAGTTTTCTTCACAACTCCAACAGTAGATTTGTGCAACATGCATGCTATCAACTTCGTGAGTATGTTCAGGCGCGTGTTGCAGTTTCTGATCCCTTGTATGAGATGATCAAGAAGGAAGAGTTTGAACGCCAATACAATTCCAAGTTTTTGGAGGCGATTTCTTGCTCTCGTGTTGTAGTTGAGCCTGTAAGTTCAGGGACGTATGAGCCATCATCGAAGCTGAACTTAAAGGTACTACAAGACATCCTGAAGGGTATCTTCAAGATCCAGAAGGATGAGGAGCTTGCCAAGGAACGTGATGAAGAAGAAGAACAGGCAGCTAAAAACATCTCATACCTGTTGGCAGATGATATGGAGCTTGATTTTGATGATGATGATGTTCCAGTATGGCGCTCCATTGTCGACAAGTATAGAGGAGGTGATCAGGTGCTACAGGGAGAAGCTGTGAAGATTACTCACCTGTTCAGGGATCAAAAGGACAATGAGAAGGCGACAGAAGCTTTCAGTTCAGAGAGGACAGATTTTTATGAGACCTCAGGACCTCTTCCAAGAACCGAGGGAGAAAATCTTGTAGAGGACTTGCTCACCAAGGATGTTGCAGAACAAGCTTTTGAAGTAGGTGAAGAAGTTCCTCCTTATACAAGAGTCTCCACTATCGCTGGTGAAGTTTATACTGGCAGTATGACACTTCTGGAAGATGAGGATATGGAAGAGGAAGTTCCTGAAGAAGATCCTGCAGTTGAACCTGGAAAGGAACAAGAAATATTTAATGAAGATGCAGGTGTTTTTCCTTCAGAGGAACCAAAGATGGAAGTTGACCAGGAGAAAGCCAAGGAAGAGTCAACACCACACTTTCTGTCAAGAGAGATAGGTGAGGACTCGACTGCATCGCACTTACCATCAGGTGAGATGGATGCTAACATTGATGATACTTCAGGTCAGCGGAAATCTAAGAAAAGCCGCCTGAATAAGATTCCTGATCCTCATTTTCATGAAGAAGTTCAGGATGATGCAACCATGGAAGAGAAGAAAGAGGCGGTGGAGAAAATAAAAGAGGTCAGAGAGGATGATGAAGAGAAGAAATTGGAGGCTGAAATCCAAGAATCTTTTCCATCTGAAGTAGTTGTTGAAAAGGATACAACAAAAGCTGACAATACCTATGAGTTGCATACTTCACCTTTGAAGTTGCTTGGAGAGCTTACAGGAGATCCAGGTATTGGCTTTTATCAACTACGCTTCAGGGAAACTCATGCAAGATTGCTGAATCATGTTTGTTTCAGAAAAGGTGAGATTTCCCATCCTCATTATCAGTCAAGGATCAACGAGAATGATTTTGTTCGATCCATTCGCAATATCTGTCCAGTACCTCCACCTGATTGTTATGAACATGAACCAAGGCATGATTTGAAGAGATTCTTCATCAATGATGACCGCATCATCTATTTGGATGGCAGGTATCAGGTCGATCCAAAGGCCCTTGAAAGGGCAGGTCATGCTCGAGAAGAATTGGAGGATACGAAAAAGGAACTCAAGAAGGAACTGGAATCATATGGTCCCAAGGGACCCAGTTGGGACTTTGTCACCTTCTATGAAGAGCTGTGCAGAAGGTTCCTCAAAGGAAGAATAGAAGAACCATATGGAACTAATTTATTGGCCAGCTCAGAGTCCTTGACATTTTTATCCTGGAACTATGGCAACATGGTTCGTGGTCAGAAGTACACCACACCAAGGTTTCTCCAAGGACTTGATAGTGCAATGAGGCCACGCAAACCGAGCGCCATGTCACTTCAGAATGAGCAATTTGAGAACAACCTTTTTTTCAACATGCTCTTCTTTTTACGTGCACATGTCGTGATTCTCCAGGAAGCTCATCTTCTTGTTCCTGCCAAGGAATTTATTGAGCAAAAGAATTGGACAGTTTGTTTCAATGATTGGGAGAATCTTGCAGTGATGGCTAGATTGGCACCAGGTGGATATGTCAAGATCATTGCTGGACATGATCAAGAACTTGGTCACTGTGAACAGCGTGATGTAACTTGGGCTATCTACGAGATTTGTTTTGGAGAAACAAGGCCTCGTCAAGATTTCAAGGATGCAGACTTTGAATTTGATGACTATGGTCCTGAGGACAAGCGTGTTCCACTTACTCGAGCGAACATGCATACCATCAGAGTCTGTAATTATCATGTTGATACACACCGTGCTGTGGATGCCCACCTACTGACAGGAGAACAGACAGCATTGATGCTTTACGAGTGTTTTGTCTATGAGGTGGACATCATTTCTGGTGATGCAAATAGTTTGGCCTACAGAATGTCTGGGTATAAAAGGCAGCCAATGGCTAACTACTATTACAGCACCATGCAGCATTGGATCCGCAGGTTTTCAGAAGCTCGTGTCAAAGCAGATCCTGGTATCAAAGCACCTATTCCCAGAACATTTTACAGTTCTACTTCACAGGTCCTCAAGAAGTGTGAAGTTTACTTTGATAAACTCTGGGAAGAATACTCTACTGTTGAAAAAGAAGAATACCAAGGATCACAGCTTGGCGATACATGTTTGTCTACCAATGTTGAATGGGGTCATTCAATGAGTGAAGAGGAATATGAAAATTCCACAGTGAGCACGAAGGAGTTCATCTGTAATTTTTCAGAGAACTTTGCTATGATTGACACGGAGGTTATGTGCTCAAGGCCCACTGACGAGGACAGTCATGGTCCAATGTTTATTTCACTCAGACCAGCTTCCCTTTCATCTGGAGACAGAAGACAGTATCGCATGGGAGCAACGCTTCAAGAGGCGAACGTGCGGAGGAAGGAGAGACAGAAGCAGAATAGAAAGAAAGGAAGGCCGCCAACTTCTGATCAAGCAGCTTCATCGTTTGCAGCGGCATAATTCCTGAGCGAAGGCTGAAATTTAAATGATGGCTAGGAAGTGAAGATACTTCTGGTTACAGGTGATACTTTGCTTCCAGGCTTGACTTTAAGTTGCCAGGCTGAAGTTTTAATAAATTCTGGTTTGCAATAAGGAGAAACTTTTTATCAAAGAAGATACTCCTGCATTCCAGGTTTATATGCTTTAGCATTTGGATAGGTATGGACAGTTTTACATAACTGATGATATCTATCATCACCGCTCTTATGAAGTGACCTCTAATGGACAACCAGTCATGGTTGATGATTAAGTCATTTCAAGATTTGCAATTGTAGTGCAAGATTTTTTTTGTACATACATTTGCCGGTATCTCCTTCTTGTGTTTTTGATGTGAATGTGAAAGAGAGTCCTTTTGATGCAGTTTATTTTGTCTGTGAATGAAAGCGGTCGAGACCACGTCACGAGAAGATTATTCATCGAACCGTACGCTCCTTGCATTTTGCAAGGCATCTTAATTCATTGCATTGTGCGGTCTTGAATTTTTAGTTCTTTGTTACGCGAGTGTCGTTTGATTCTTTTATAGGTCTCTGTAGAGAAAAAGCCGCTTTCCCTTTTTAGTTTGATTTAGCTCAGGCCCTAAAGAGCTAGTGAGCGCCGGTACATGGTATCTCCGCCTGCGAAAAGTACAGTCTCCAGCCGAGGTACATTATCGATTTGATTTTGTACTTGAGGTGAGTCAGCTATTGCTCCCTCACTGTATTTAGTAGCTATGAGATTACCTTCTCTGAAGTGTGAAACACACTGGATTAGGTAAGTACATGGCACCGTAGTTTTCTTTTAAGTTGTCAGAGCTAGCTGGACTGTTTTAGCCTTGCAGTAGAAAAAGAGTATGCGACATACGCAATCAGCTAGAAGTGGACATGAATCTTGTGCCTGCTGAAAAGTAGAGCCTACCTGTACAGGGTTCCACTCCAACAGCTGATATAGTGTGTCCATGCTTGACTGCTTCAAGGCTCAAAGAGCAAGAGGATAAGACTCTGCGCATAAAAGACACTAGCGGTCTGCACCTCTACCGTGTACGCCCTAGTCACTCTTTCACCCCCCCCCCCCCCCCCCGGGTTCACCCCCCCCCTGGGACGCTTCCGGTACGTGCTATAGTGCTATGTTTAGGTGGCAGGTGAAGTAGGCCACTGTTGAGTTTGGAAGGGGGGCATGAAACATGAAATTTACGCGAGGGTTCAAGGCTTCAATGATGAGCATCACGGGAAGTCAGAAACCAGGCGTATCAGATACACGTGCCTTTGAGCTTCCTTCGGCATCTCAGTGCATATGGCTGACACTTCACTTGACAAAGATGCTCAAACAAACATACATAAACCAGGTGTATCTGATACGCCTGGTTTGTGACTTCCCGTGATGCTCATGATGCTGCGTTGCTTTTCTTCAGTCCCCAATTACATTTACATGACGATCCAACAGCAGATTCAACAAGCTCACATGTTCATGACATCGACATCGATAGAAGAAACCAAACAAAACAAATCATGCAAGCAGCTTTGTTTTGCCTCTGGGACACCTCTTGGGCACCTCTTATGGCATCCACACTGGTTCAACTCCTCCGTGGAGGTTTTGGGATACGGATGGATACGGTGCAACAGATTCAACAAGCTCACAGGTTCGTGAACACATCGGATGCATCGAACAGTGTGGCAAAGTCCAGCCACGCTTCCTTAATTATCGGGGACTTCAATTCTAAGGTTGGCTGTGTCATTGCTGTTTGTGTGTCTTACATGTTCACAACGTTTTACCTCATGAGCATTTGCCTCACTCCGCTTGATGTCCCACCAGTCCGGATGCACCCCTGCTAGCTTTCGTCACCTACCCTCGGCCTCAAGTTAACATATAGCTTTGCACAAGTCAGCTTTCAGGGTCATGTGTCTCCGCGCCCAGGGGCTGCCAGCAAAGACTGGAAGTGATATGAAGGATTGCACTGCGTGTAAGTTGGCGGCGAGCAGTGCCCCGGAGAAGGCTGAAGAGGAGGAAGGCCAGAGCATAGGGGTGCCTGCAGAAGGAGAGGGCATGCGAAGTGGTTGTGGTGGTTGGTGCTAGGTTCAAATTCTTATTCAATTCCCTATGGATCCGCATACGTACTTCGGCCCTCGAAGCCTACTTAAATAGTCTCCAATCACCGTACCTCAGGTTCGGTGTGTGGATCGACACAGGTTTTACGATTCATGGGTTTGTGTGTGATGAGAAACTGAGGCAGCCACAAGTGCTGTTGGTCCATGAAGCCCAAAAAAGTGCTTGGTGGGGGTTTAGCAGGCTCGGCCTGCTGTTTGTTGCTTCTTAGCTGGTTCCCCAAGGAACCCACTCTTGTTTCACTGCGTGTACAAGATCTTGGATGACCAGGGTCTTTTTTCGGGAGCTCGAAATTTGCTCAGCCATCAGGTCAAGGATGAATCGGCTGTTGGCATGCTGATAGCTTGCAGTGATGCCCAATGGCCACTGCTTGTTTCCGACATCGTAGTGACAAACTGAACTTGCAGAGGACCCAGCTCGCTGTCATTGTCATCGCTCCCCATATTGCCAGAGGCTGGCGGCTGGCTAGAGAGATGGATGGGTCGGGGCACAGGTTGCCAGCCTTTAACGAAAATAACAGACGACCCACAAATTTTGTCATTCATTCAGACTAGATTTGCTCATATTTGCGCCATGGATTTCAGGTCTATACACAGGTTGATTCGGGCACGTGAGTTTAGTTTGCGATGCAGTTGTTTAACATAACTGCACTCCCAAAACTAGGGCAAAAGGGCGTTTTGGCAAGAAAGGCACGAGTCGTCGTCGAATGCTGTGTGCCGGAGGAACAACCACAAACAGCCACTGGAAAAGGTGTTGCAGGTGTTGGGCGACTTCATACCTGTCCCTGTTAGACGTCATGCAGCAATGCCAGCGCTATACAAACTATAATTACTTATAATAAATTGTTTGAACGTTCAACTTGCCCTCTCCTTCCCACATCTTAGGTGTGCTCAGAAAGTCTGACAAGTCAGCTTGAAAAAGGACACACGTGCTCGCACCAAGGGGCTGCCAGTAAAGACTGCCAGCAGCCTCAAGGAGGTCGCCGAGAATGCTTTGTGCGAGCTGACAACTGGCAGTGTGGGAGCAGATGAGGATGTTGAACACGTGGAAGAGCACAGTTCCCGGGCATCTGCTGCAGGAGAGGGTTCGGTCCAGTGTTTTTGGAGCTTCTTCCAAGTTGATGTATGGATATATGATATGTACGGTAGATTTGTTTGTGATTGAAGGGACTGAATATGCGCCGATTTTGAATATGCGCCTGCCTGCACAAATCTCTAGAAAAAGTGATGCAGCCAGCATAAGTAAGCCCTCCTCCCTCACAGATGATAGAGGAACCCGCTCGCTGTCACCGCCATCGCTTCCCATGTCAGTCGATGAGGCTTGGGTTGTGGGTTGGGTTGGGTTAAGGCCTTGAGGTTGTCAGGCTAAAAAGCGCTCCCAGCTTTTAGCATTGTGTCGCATCGAAGTGGCTCTAGCTTGCAAGCTGGTGGTTAATTCAGACAGTGAGTTCATTGTTCTTGTTTTATAGTATATTTGATGAGCATGTGTATCATGTGTATCTGCAAGACGGGGTAGAAAGGCATGAGAAAGAGGCATCCGACAAGAACAGATGGATTGCTCGCCCCTTTTGGTTGGAAATCGGTGGAAGCAGTGTCGGCTTGTTGCAGCACATCGTGAGCACCACCAGGGGCTGCCAGCAAAGACTGCCAGCAGCCTGAAGGATTTCACCGTGGAGAATGCTCGGAGGGAGCTGACGGATGGCAGTGATGGCAGGGTGGCAGCACATGAGGATGTTGCAGGAGCATTTGCTGCGGCAGCGGCCTCGGGCCCGCCAGCCAAACGCATCCGGGTTGTGCTAGAGAGAGTGTGAGAATGTTTTAGACATTTGGAGCCAGATTGTTTCGACATTTGTGAGTGGTAGAATTTGGAACGACCATATTAATTTGGAGAAGGCAAGAGCTCTCCTGGCATTTTGTTCTTTTTTGCCCAGCTACCGGCTACCGGTGTGAAACAGATTTCCAGTTCTTTGTTGCACCCCAATGTTCCCAGTAGACCACTAGATAGAAGTTCTATCTATTGGCATACTGGGTGGTACAGGATCGTACAGGTCCCATTCGATGTTTCCTATCCTTCTAAGAGCAATGGCTGACCTGGTCTTGTAGTCGCAAGTCCTTAGTAAGACAATGGCTGACCATTATATAAATACAAATCAACACAATTCAATTGTGGTTTGAATCCATGGGGTTCTTTTTTGGGCATGCGAATGGTCAGGAGGGCGCAGCCGCAGTGGCTCGTCTTCGTCATCCTGCGGATTGGAGGACGAGGTGAGGGGCTTCTTTTGGCTGGCTGGGAGGGATGTATTTCTTCCTGTCAAAGTAGTTTTGAGATAGCTTCAATGATCCAGAGAAGCATTGAATATGAACCCCCAGAGACGCCACCAAAGGCATCCAGGATTTTGGTCCACAGCCGGGTGGAGTGGGGTAGGGAATGCACTATGAATGCACTAAGCGCCGGAAAAAGGATTCGCACCAATTGACACCCAAAGATGCCAACAACCCTGGTACGGTTTCCTGGTCCCACCTTCCCTCATGTGGGAAAGAACATGGGTTCAGAACACAAGACGCGCAGAGACAGGCAAGATAGGCTGTCGGTCCCAGAGTAGTGACAGATCATCAGAACTGATGTCGTCAACACCAGGATGGGTCTCAAGGCGGGACCGATTTCGGTTGTGGACCCCCCGAGCTACTCAACCTACTGCCATCTGGATAAGCAACGAAAGTTCCAGTGCATGGGTGGACTGGTGGGCCGGGCCGTGGACTGGTGAGCACCGAGGGGCGAGCCCAAAACGGGCCGCGTTTTCACAGGTCTCGGCCTTGGGCCGCGCGGAGTGTCAAGAGCTCCAAGACTCCATCAAGCAGATGAAGCTGGAGGACCATCCGAGTTTTGGAAGGGATGCGGGTCCTCCATCAATACAGAGAGACAGAGAGAGACACACAGGTTTACGCGGCAGCGTGGCATAGTACGTACATGTATGTACATGTAGTATGTAGATGTGTGTATCTATATATATATATATTATATATGTGGGTGTACCGTGTAGTTTTGTGTTGTTTCGTATGTTTCTCTTTTGTGCGGTGTACCGTGATGTTGTGATGTTGGTGGTGATGCTTTTGGATCCGAACGACTGAGTCGGGGGAGCAGAGGGGAGAGTTCAGATCCAATTGTTCTTGGATTTGGTCCCCGACAACTTTGGAGCAAAGACGCTACTAGGAGCTCCTGGCCGTACTACTAGGAACAAGGACGCTACTAGGGGCTCCTGGCATTGCTACTAGGAGCAAGGACGCTATATGGACGGTTGTCGCTATATGGACGGCAGATCATGGCAGATTGCAAACCCTATCAATCAGCTGAATCGTCGACATTTGGTTGCAAAGGCTGTGTGGGCCCCCCAAGGCCATCAAGGCCAATCCAAGTAATCAGATGGATAAAGGTGAACAACCTCTGCTTCCCTATGGATCCACATACCTTCTCAAAAGTAATTGGACCGTACCTCAAAAGCGCGGGATGTGGCTTGACGGGCTTGACCGGTGGTTTCTTGTGGTAATTCGTCCAGGGTTGCAAGGGACTCCTGGACGACGGGGGTCGATCCAACAAGAGGAAAACAACGACTGAGGGAGGCACCGATGGCGAACCGGACTGCTGTGGACGTGGACCAGGCCGAGGCTTTACGCCTCCAGATGGCGCGAGTGGAGGATGAGCGGGCAGGAGGCCCCAGTGCTGGTGGCGATCCGATTCGCCCTTCCTTTGTCACGCCTGGGACAATGTGTGCAGTGAGCGTTTTTTTTTTTTTTTCAAACTTTGGGCATTCTGTGAGGACAACAAGTTCTGCTGCTGGGACAAGTTCCGGGGCTGGGACAAGTCACGAAAGCTAGCATCAGCTAGCTGGAGTTGTCCTTGCTTTAGCAAGTGAGGGGCTGGAATCCTCGAGATCGCCGCATCACGTGAAAACTTCATATGTAGAGGGGGCCCCCCCCCCGCGGGTTCAACTGTTCAACTCCCCCTGGGACGCCTCTGGGACGGACACCTCTTGGACACCTCTTATGGCATCCACTTTGGTTCAACTCCTCGGTGGAGGTTTTGGGATACGATGCAACAGATTCAACAAGCTAAGGTTGGCTGTGTCATTGCTGTTCGTGTGTCTTACATGTTCACAACGTTTTACCTCATGAGCGAGACCTTGTGAACCATCCCTCCAACAGCCCCATGCCTATGAAAAAAGATTTGCCTCACTCCGCTTGATGTCCCACCAGTCCTTTGTCACTGGACGGCGCTGTATGCTTCGCCTCCACTGACATGGATGCATCCCTGCTAGCTTTTGTCACCTACCCTCGGCCTCAAGTTCCGGGCTGGGACAACAAGGGCAGCACTTTGTTGATTGAAGTTTTGTTGGATGCGCTGTTGGATCCAAATTGATTGAAGCGCTTATCCAGCATTTTTGAAGTTATCGGACTAGCACCGAACGCAAGTTTGGGAGCTAAGACCGGCCTCATTATCCAATCAGACTAGTTGCCCTAGCAAAATTGGTCCAACATCCAGCAGTATTTACCAATTTTCTTTCTTTTCACTTTTCACCAAAAAATTACATAGAATGACCAATTCCAATCATTGGACCAAATAGTTCACTCAACAATTTCAATTTCCATCCCTTTGATGAACAACATCCTTTTTCAGCTTAGTCTTCTCCAAACAATCGGATTTTGCTTGCATTTTTGCGTAGAAGGAAAATCGTCTTTCACACCCGTTTGACGTTTTCTATGGTTAATGCAATCATGTTTGATGGATTTGATCCACCTTAAATCGTTTCTGCCCCTTCATGTGTTCGCCTCTCCTCCTCGCCCCTTCAGTCCCGAGCCTGCGGACCCAGGATGCGGCGCTGGCACACGCCGCAGCGGCCGAGGAAAGACGGGACAGTCCAAGTCGGATCGATCTTCTTGGGTCGTACGCGTAGAGGACCAAACATAGTGCCAAACATACAGCAGATGCCTGATGATGCCTGATGGGTCTTGAAGAATCTTGCATCATTTTGGCTAAGGCTAAGGCTTTGGTGTTTTTTGCCGCGGCGACCTTTTTTTAAAGTCTCTTCTTCCCCTTCAAATCGTCGCTTTGCTCACAAAGCCTCCCAAATTCCATATTCCAGTGGAAACTCCCACCTCCCCATGAATGAGTCGAGGGAATATTGGGAGCAGTGGGAGCAGGCTGCAGGCATATGCAGATCGATGTCAGAGACGTCAGTCATCCTGAAGAAACTCCGATTTGTCACACTCACACCCATTCACGGGCCCCGCAGCCTCCTAGAACTGGTGTGCAGTTGTTGAACAGGAGGAGGCCTGTCGTCGAAGTGCCAAGCAGCAGAGGGTCATCGAAGAGGCAGAAAGCAGGGGGGCTTTGGAATTGACCTAAACTGCAGATTATACAAAGGAGCACAGCAGGGTCAGGACCTCGGTCTAACGGTTTGTGCTCTCTTTTTCTTTGGCATTCGCATGCTTGGGCGTTTCACATTAACTGGAACACTCACCGAGCTCCAAAAGGTAGCTATGGCAATTTAACATGAAACTGTCCAGCCTTGAAAAAGCAATTGCGGTTCAACCCCAAGCTAAAGCCACGGAAAAGAATCCTTCACCATGCTCCACCTTCCCAACCTAGCTCGTTAGGCAAGAGTTTCTGCCCAACTTCATTTAGGCAGACAATTCCACCCGTTTTCAGTTCTGACTAGTTCTGGAGGCAGGAACCAGAACTTGAATAAACAAGCGAGAAAACACACGCTCGACTCGAGGAGTCGCCAGTCCGCGAGTCGGCGAGTTCCTCTAAAGTGTTTGAAACTCATGTCACTCAAAAAAAAGCACCATGAGTGACCCCAAAAAAGCACCATGAGTTGGTCTGAAATTCATCTAAAGTGTCCCAAAAAAGCTACCATTGATTTGTGAAAACGCTGATTGTAGGTGAGGGGGAACGGGTATACGAACACTTAAGCAACAGGACACCTAAGGAACGGGTATACGAACGCTTAAGTGACAGGAAGAACGCCTACGGCTACGTAACAACGCACAGGGCTTCAAGCCAGCAGAGGTGAAGGGGGGCTCTGGATATCGGCCAAAAGAAGAGGGGGCTGAAGACAACCCATTGATCGTAGTGGGAGTGCACACCAAAGACAGTGTTCATGATCGATACTCTCGCATGCCGAATACTTTCTGGGCCGAAAGAGCGTACTCTAGTGGAGCCCTTGACCCGTCTTTGGGACAAGCCTTCGCTTTTCCCTCCCTGTTGCAACTGCGAATGCGCATTGAAGTCCCCGGGTGGAGAGATCTGGCAACAGCCAGAAATCCCACAGCTGATTTGCCAGCAGAAGAAGACTCTGCCTCAGACGACACCGGGTCAGCAGAACGGTCGCCACGACTTGCTCTCCCAGTGCCGGTGGGAATGGCAGAAACGCAGGCAGACGAAGCAGACGAAGCCACAGAGGACGAGGCCATGAATGCTGAACCCAGCCATGCCTTTGCCAAGGGGTATGGAAGGTTTGGCACAGGCTGCACTAGACTAGCAACGGCGCTAGGCAATTTCGAGCATGCAAAGTGATGATGAAGTCCTGACAAACAATTGTAATATATTGTAATTACTTCACTAATTATGAAGTTCCTGGAAGCAGTGTTGGATGGTTCCTTGTCTATTCGAGCATGCCCACCAAAAGACAAGAACGCTGAAGGGATAAGAATGCCTACAGGGGGGCAAGAACGCCTAGGCATGGACAAGGCGCCTTTACCCATAATGGGCGGACATTCCTGCCCAAGAAGAAGGATGTATATGAACAATGTATACATTAGAACAAGGATGAACAAGGCACACACACATCAAATACAACCCCACTTTGTTGGTTTGTCCCTGTTCCACCGAACTCAGACCACCCCAAGCCTAAACACGAATCCACCCGGCCAAATATCTCTGGCGTCATCGCCTGCAGGTGCAGAAGTGTGAGGCCTTCCTCCAGGGCGAGGCGGAGCAGCAGCGGGAGGAGCTTCGCGACACTCAGGTGCCGAACGTTGCACCGTGCGCGGAGCTTTTCGGGTGCGAACGGGAGGGGTCTTTCAGAGATGGAGGCACCAGGTGGAGGTGGAGGTGGGCTGGAAGAGATCGGACAGATCGTGTGAAGATTTCGATGCGGCGTGTGGACATGTGCTGAGCCTTCTAAAGATGGATGCGGAGAGTTCCAGCGTTGGAAGGGCTACTCGTACTTGCCTCATGGGTCCTCTACAAGCAGGGGCTTTGCCACTTCGAGATTGTTTGGCACGGGAGTTGAGTTTGATCACTATTTGGAAGAGACTGAACTGGCTGGTCGGGAGATAGCTGATAGTTACTGATAGTTGTTTTCCCTCTTGTTGCAGAATCAACACCCAGGCTGGTTTGCACAAAAAACGCTCCATAGTCAAATACACAAGCTTTTCGCTCAACTCAGCTGTCAACAAAGTCAACCCTGTCAGGCATCTCACTGAAACACATTCGAACAATTTGGAAAACCACTGTCACTATCCCACGCGACATGGCTTGAGGCACATGTGAGGTGCTTGCAGAAGGAGCTTGCAGCTGCGACGGGCACCTCAGTGGGGGGTTCGGCATGTTCGGCCGGCGTCGGGGCTGATGGGTCTTGGCTGAAGTGATCACCCATCCCAGCTGGGCCGACTGGATCTTCACATGGCTGTGGGTGAAGAACTGGAGCTCCTTTCACCCCTTTTAGGTTGACCTCCTATAGGGTCGGTGGTCCATGAACTGTTCATGAGACCGCGGCGCGCGACCATCCCGGGGTCTCCATGACCCCCGGGGTCTCCGTCGGGTCGGGTCACGGTCTGCTGAAACAGCGCGCACGCGACCGCCGGGGGGGGTGGTTGGGTGGGTGCGTGAAGGTTCTCTTCTTTGGGTGTCCTCTGCTAGAGCTATCAAGCCAAAGGACAGAGCTGACGAGGCAAATCGACTTCCTAGATTGGGACTCCCGCGTGAGTCGTCCTCATTCGAGGATGACTCACATTGAGGGGACAAGGAGTCACTTGACAATGAGACTCACAGACTCACAGATGGAAATCATGGTTGCACCGTGACTGTGATGGAATCACAAGGGGGTCAATCCAGTCTAACCTAGTCGAAACCTTGGAAGGATTCTCAGACTCTGGCAGACACTGCACGTAGTGGAACTCGGTGTGGCGGGTTTTCGGTGTGGCGGAACTCACGCCCGCAGAAAGAAACATGGACTCTAATGGCCCCCCCTCCATGGAGTCTCTAAGTGGCCTAAATGATATCCTATAAGATGATATAAGATTATGGAATCCATATGGAATACAAGACCATGGTGATATAAGATACAAGACCATGGTGACATTATGGAATCCATATGGAGACATGGTGATAATGGAATACAAGATGATATAAGATTCAGGCACCAAATCTTTCGATACTACACCATGTACTACCACCTGAGGAGGAAAAGAACAGTATTTCCGTTACTTTTCATTATCCACACGTGTTTGTAGCACCATGGCCAGCTTCGCGGCTCCGCGCTGTTAGGCTCTCAGAGGCTTCAGCGGCGAAGGAGCTGCGCGAAGCCTTGGAAACGGCTGAGGCGCGAAGCCTTGGAAACGGTCTGGGTGGGATCAGGAGACTCATGGTAGTGGCTAGAAGCTACTAGTAGCAGGGGCATCGCAACAAGAGCATCGCTAGTAGCAGCTAGAAGCTACTAATCCCAAACTCTCCATTTTTTGGAATAGTTATATAATTGTTGGGTCTGTCCTACTACCTATCACATCCTATCACTAGAGCAGAGAAAGGCCTGCCACCTAACCATCATCATCCACTGGGCCCTTGGTAATGGTATAGACTCGACCCAAGATGACCCAAGTGACCAAACCCAATGCAACTTAGATAAATCATTTGCGGTGCAGTGTATTATTGAAGCTGACAGGGGCCTAGCCAGACCCTAAAATGTGAGTAACTATTCCATACATGGAGTGTTGGGATATGGTTTTTGTGTCCAGTGTTGGTCCTGAACGTTCCGGTTCTTTGTCTTCAGCTGTTTGGACGGGTTGCGGGGATTATCCGGGCTGGGTGATGGAATAGTTCCATATTACCCTACATGGACCCTTAAAAGATCTTCATATCACTCCAGTCTAACTAATTAAAATCTAATAACCCTCTCCATGGCAGGGGTCGGACCCTCCATAGCAGGGGTCCGTTAGGGCCCACGCGTTGTGTGTGGGAGAATTTCCCAGAGGGCCGGGCAAAGCCTCCCTAAGGAAGACCACCCCCCGCACACCCAAAAAGCACTGCCTTGAGCTCTTGCGCAGAGTGTGTGTTGTGAGTTTGGGAGCTCTAATAGGGAGGTTCTGTGTGTTTGTGATTGCATGCGCGGAGGGCGACACCCCTATAGTCAGTGCATGACCACTTATAGCTGTGGTGGAGAACAACCCAAGTCATGGTTTGTCTCAGTAGAGACCCTACCGACCAGCGCCATCATCACCGTCACGGTCCTCGTCATCAGCAGAGCTCATGCATGGATTCTTTCAATTCACCCTCCTCATGCTAGGAGCAAGGACGCTACTAGGGGCTCCTGGCATCGCTACTACGAGCAAGGACGCAAACAACTCCTAGCCTCCAAAAGCATTCAAAGGCCACCCACCAACCCTGGAGACTCGTCGCTCCTCTGGGCCCAGGCTGAAATGGCAGCTCAGAACTGCGTGGCCCCAGGTGGGGGTTGGTTGAGGTAGAGTGAAGGGGGGCCGCTCCTTCATAAGAGCAGGTCGGGTTTTTATACGGATCTTCACCATGGGATGGACCTCCAAGCCCATTGCGCAGAAGCTCTGCCGACGTTCAGCGACCGACGCAAGCAGTTCTACGCCCACCTCCACCGGGCCACTCCGCCGCCAGCCCCGAGCCCGTCGGTTTTTCGCTCCGCAGGCAGCAAGCCGGTCCACGCGCCGCTGGGCACGAAGGACGGTTTGCTTCGGTGGGTGCGGTGCTGGGATGTGCTGGGAGGTGTTGGGGGTATCTGGAGTGGGTGGATGGGATGCCCAAAGGGAGATCGTGAGGGAGGTGGTGGACCTTTGCAAAAGGACATGACATGAAATCAATTGATATAACATGATATAACTTAATAACATCCCCCCAGTCATGTTTGGTTCTGTTTTTTTTCCCCAGATAGCTTCAAACTATAACCGGTGTAGGGGTTCTTACTTCTCGGTGGTGTGGCTTTGGATCGGCGTTTTCGTTTTGCGGGTGCTGCTGCCGTGCTGGTCTCGGCGTTTCGTTTTGCGACTGTTTTTGGGGACTTTGCTTACAGTCCCGCGACTTGGCGGCAGACATCATGTCATGCCAGGGGTGACATGATGTCATGCTGTGTTACTGTGCATGGCAACGTGTTGCGCATCAATGATCATAAAAGTCGGCTGGGCCGCTTTGGCTGGTCCTTGCCGATCTTGCAGTTTTACGTCTGTGTTGGGCAAAGCGGGCGCATTCAGCTGTCTGATAGATGTTGCGCATATTGGTGGACTGGTTTGGTATGGTTTGGTGTTGCGTGCTGCGGTGCTAGCTGTCCGTTGCATGTCCTTTAAGACCTTTTACACCCGCTATCTGGGGGCCATGCCGGTGAAATTCTTTTCTGGAACCGGCTCCTGAATCAGACTCCCCTGTCCCAAACATGTACTAACTATCAACAACATTCAACAACCATGCCAGAAATGCCATTCAAAATACTGCACCAGGACTGCAAGCAGTTCCACTGCTCCCGATCCTTGCTCCACTGGCGTGATGCTTTTCGCCTTCACCTGCGTTCCCAGCTGCGCGACGATCTGCGCCGGGCGGACGTGCGGCGGCACGGGAGCAGAGCAGAGCTGGCGCTGGGGCGAGGCTTGAGGCAGTTGAGGCTGGAACGGTTGGATCATCTTGGATCCATGGAGTGCACCGAGGTTGTGGTATCATGCATGGTTTGTTCATGTTTATTGTACTTTCTATTGCTGCCATAATAGTTATATGATATTTAATGATATATTTTTTTTGCCCAGTACATACTAACAAATTTTGACCGGTGGAGTTGGGGGATCCTCTTGAGAATTGTTACCTTTGAAGTAAGATGGGTGCCCTGCAGTTTGATGTTTTCTTTTGTTTTCCCTCTAGAGTTGCTCGAAACCATCGAAATCATTTCAGAATTTCGGATAGCTTTTCAAAAGGGAGGGGCGCTTCCCCAAGCAGTTTGTGCGGCAATCGGAACATCAACAAGGCAATTTGAAAGGGGGGTAAATTTGAGCCAGATGGAACATTTTTGGATACCCTTGGTCTAGGAATAGGGGGATACGAGATCAAACAACATTACTACTGACAATGATTGGGCTTGGACAAATTTGGAAGACATGATCATGATGTGCCTACAGATGTTACAGCATTCACTTCTTCCAACTTGCCCTGCCCTTGCAAGTGGCTGCTGTGCTTGGTTTTTTTCAACCTGCATTGAGGTGGTCAAAATCTCACACTCTGAGCCATTCAGTTCTGGGCACTCATGTCATTGGACTGTGTCGCTCGGATGGAGGCTGGCGCCCAGCCCATCACCCTCTGCGCCGTGCGCCCACGAGCCGCGCGCAGAGCGGCGCTCGGAACGTGCCGAAGTCGGCAGCGTGTCTCCGGCAATCGAGCGAAGGCTGGTGGGAGATGAGAAATGGGGGCAAGGCCCAGGGCAGGCGGTGGGCAATTTGGAATGGCATTGGAAAGATTGGAAAGGTAAAAGTACTCTGAAGTAGCCAAAGTAGAGGGTTTCCCAACAGTCTTGCAATGTTTGGACTGATACCTCCACACGCATGACGTCATCCCCAGCAGTAGGCATTGTGGGAGAGTTCCAGTACCACATCAGTAGGTTGCAGTTCTTTGACCATCCCTGCGCTGGCAGCCCGGAAGCATGAAAGGTTCGCTGAAGGTGCTGAAGGTGCTGTGGAGTCTCCAAGGTCTTGTTGCATCCCGATACCCAAAATGGTTAGTAGCACGGTTTCCTTATACATGTTCTACGTGGGGGGTCTACTTTTCTATCCACTTGGCGGTCTAAAATATATATCCCTGACACGACGAATGGGACTGGTCTATGCCGCCCCATTGACCCCCCAAACGCACCACCCCGTACAAGTACGGTAAAGCCATGGCAGTCCCATTCGTCGTGTCTGGGTCTGGGATACATGATTCCTCTTGATGCTGATAGCAACTCCACTTGTGACATCTTGTGACGCCTGGCGACCGGTGCTCAGTTGGCTTGTTCCGGTCGGCAGCTTTCGGATCAACGAATGCAACAAAATGAACTGTCAGAAGTAGGCAACCTACAAGAAAAGACCGCACAAGAGAGACCGGATCTTATGTTGTCCATCGCCACAGAAAGAGGATTGGATCCTGTTGGCTAGAGTGACTCGATGGCACAGGCTGCCTACTCGTAGCCGTCGTAGCCGAGTAGGACTGGATTTGGGAGGCGTGATTTCCTCTTACGAAGCGATGTTGGGCTCTTACGCCACCGGTGCCGCCGCCGCGATCCGAGCGGCGTCCATGATCGAAATCGAGCTGCAGCGCTTTGGGCTTTCCCCTCGCAGCGCCAGCGGCAGAACGGAAGCACCCGCACCGGCACCGCCGGCACCGCCCGCACCGCGGCAGATGGTGCGGGCGAGTGTGCCGGATGAAGCATGCCAACGTGAGGCTTGTGGGAAGCGGAGGCATCCAACCCAAGGCCACTGATCGTTCAGAAATGAGGATGGATGAGGAGTTTCCTGTTTCGTCATTTTCCAATACTATTCATGCTGTTGATGATGGGTTAGGAATGCTTGCAGGCAGACAGTGACTGAACAAACTGGCTTTTTGGATCTTATTGGAGGATTTTTAGGCCTCAGTACTCAGTAATGTGTATATACTGTAAACTGTACTCAACAAATTTGCTTGAGACCACTTAACTGTATATGGACAAGCTGTTCCAAATTGTGGAACTGTTTTCTGAAGTCAATCAGCCAAACAGGCCATGGATATTGCTGCTATGGATGTAGCAAGGGTTGGGTTTGCGGACCTCTTTGCACCAGTGTGATGACTGTTAAGTGTTGGCGTCCCAACAGTGCTGCGAGCGGCTCTGTTCTTGCTGCTGCGCGGGCGAGTGTGCCGGATGAAGCATGCCAACGTGAGGGTTGTGGGAAGCGGAGGCATCCAACCCAAGGCCACTGATCGTTCAGAAATGAGGATGGATGAGGAGTTTTTTGTTTCGCCATTTTCCAATACTATTCATGCTGTTGATGATGGGTTAGGAATGCTTGCAGGCAGACAGTGACTGAACAAACTGGCTTTTTGGATCTTATTGGAGGATTTTTAGGCCTCAGTACTCAGTAATGTGTATATACTGTAAACCGTACTCAACAAATTTGCTTGAGACCACTTAACTGTATATGGACAAGCTGTTCCAAATTGTGGAACTGTTTTCTGAAGTCAATCAGCCAAACAGGCCATGGATATTGCTGCTATGGATGTAGCAAGGGTTGGGTTTGCGGACCTCTTTGCACCAGTGTGACGACTGTTAAGTGTTGGCGTCCGAACTGCAAGAAGAGAAGACATAGCACTCAGAACACGGGATATTGCTGCGTTGGGTGCAAGAAGGGGCGTGGATGTGGACCTGGCTGTGAGAACAAGCTCTATTGAGCTGAGCCCAATGGAAGGAACATGAAGGAACTGATAATGCTATAAAGAAAGATACAGTCATTTGAGTTTGCTGACACGTGACAGTCTTACCGACTTCTTCATGCAGAGCCTGCTGTTGGAACGTGTGCCATCTCTAGATGGCTTGGCAGTGAACCTCGGTCTACAGCGAGATGGCCAGTGAACAGAGAAACATCCGACAGGCGCCAAGCTGCTCGATTGCTTTCATGACTGGCCACACCAGCACGCGCCTTGCGGTTCCACGGACCCAGCAGTGTGCGGCCGGAGCCGGCTTGACCCCGTGGCCGACGTCCAAGCCCATAGGGGGTTTGGGGGTGGTTGCCATGTGGGCCGCCGGCAAAGTCCCGGTGCCAAAGCTGTGGGTGGGGGGGTGGGCATGTGTTCAGCCCATCGAGGAACCCGACGTCTCGCAGGACGTCTCGGAGGCGAGTCAAAAGCCCGGACCTGCTGGGAGATGGGAGACGTGTCCTGCTTCTACTTACGCTATACTAGTCACTAGTCTACTATATAGTTATTGTGCTTTTTGGGAGGGGGTGGCACTTAGGGTCGGACCTTCTGGCATGTTGGATCACTTCCAAAAATTGTTTGGAAGGTCCATTCATCATTGATCATAAGATCCTGGACAGTAACTACGACAACAAAGGGTTAACATTGAGCCATGATAAGCTATGTGTGGTATATAGGAGGTGGTTGTTGTGTTTTGCTTATTTTGGACGTCTGACTTCTGCGACTTCATCCGCATTTGTGCCACTCCCCTGTCACAGGCCCGTCCGGTCCCAGTCTGTGCCGGTGCTGCGCGGCGGCGGCCGCGTCCGGGCCGCGGCGCAGTCCGTGCCGGTGCCGCCCACCGCGCCCGGCGGGTGCGGTGTGCCCAGCCTAGCCAGCAGCCTAGCAGTGGCTGGCCAGCCTCGGGCGGTGCGCAGTGAAGAGAAGCAAGTGGCAGCTCCTTGGGATGCTGGAAGGTGTGGGACATTTGGTGTGGGTGCTGGGACCTTGAAAATGGACGGAAGTGCAGGTGGTTTTCATGAGAGTGGACCAGTGAAGCACCAATGTCATCAATTTCTGTTGCTAGACTAGGTGCTTAGTGGCTATATGGACTAGATGCGCTAGATGGAGGTTACTGATGGATGTTGCTTGGGGGTAAGGGACTTGCTTTTGTTGGAAGTGACTCTGCCGGCACACATGCCATGAAAAAGTGGCAGCTGGGAGAATCTGATTTCAAAAACCTTTGGAAAAAAGAAAGATGTTGGTTCGGTTCTCCAACATGGAGCGAGGGTGTTCCGCTGACTGTATAGCCGACCCATGCCGACCCGAAACATGTCATGCCCCAAATTCGGTAGACGTTCCGCAGATGGATATTATATAGTGTTTATTAATCTGACGTTTGCTGCATGCCTCTACTCTCAGTTGATCGATTCCCGGAGGAATTGTGAGGAATTGACATTTAATCAGCAAGATGATCGTCCAACAATGATGCCTGGAACATTGATTGAATCAGTGCAGCGTGGTGACAACACAGCTGATGTCAAATCTATTTTACCAGACTGGTTTCCACCCTTGTCCATTGTGCGAAGGCATGTGTTTCCTCAATTCCATATAGTCAACAAACAATATATATATAGTTGTTAAGTATAAGAATTTTAAATTAAATCAAGCTTGTCTTCAAAATGCAGGTTTGTCGAATCCCCCTTCTGACTATTTATTCCCCATGCTGCCGCGACCCTCTTCTTTGTCGATTCCTTTGCTCGTTGGAGTGAGCCTTCCACGGTGAGTTAAGGCCGATGCTCTTCGGCACGCCGTCTTCAGCCTGAGCCTTTCCGCTTCTCTTGCTTGGGCCCACCTCGACGACGGTGAAGAAAAAGCAAGCCGCGCCGTCTCTGCGAGGGGTGGGTGGTGCGTATGACCTGGTTGCAAAGGTGGTCGGAGAAGTAGAGAAAGAGAGATAGACAGAGTATGAGGAGGGTGTATGTTCGATGATGTTCGAAAAGGTTCAGCAAGACGACAAGTGTGAATTCCAATACGAAGTGAGCAGGTCACAATTTATGTCAGCAATTTTCTCAGTGCAGAGCTTGAAGACTGACAGCAAAGGCAGGTCTTTTTCTCCAGCGTACCTCTGAAACAGTTTTGAAAAGAAGGTGCCGCTACTGTTTCCACAAGATAGAGCACCAGAATGCACCAGAGAAATGACTCAGTTTGGCAGATTTGGCAGGACATGCCTTGTTGGGCATTGTTGGCATATTTTCTTGGTCTCGCTAGCGTGGAAGTGGCGCAGGGTGCAATCACCGGAGTGGGTCCAAACCGAAGCGCTGATCTTTGAAGTCTGCAAGCACCGCCTGGTGCCGTCGCAGCAGTCGGCTTAGACTGAAACCTGCGAAGTGCAAGATTGGTGTTTTGCACTGATCTGGACGTTGCAGAGGTGGACGTTGTCAGAACACGTTCTAGAACGTTTGTTGCAAAGAACCAGCATGTTGGGTCATGTTGGGTCCTTGTTCACGCGTGGAAGTTCCTTTTGTCGTAAGCCATGACGAGCACAGATGGATTGACTTGTGGAGCGCTGGCCTTGGAGGGATTGTGAAGGTCATTTCAGCGCGAGAAGGTGGGGGTGCCCCTTTTGGGGGATTGCTGGAGGCTGAACGATGATACGTATGTCCCAGAGCGCAGAACTACTACTGTAAGTTACTAGAACCACGCCTGAAAACACTTCTTCACTTAGTATTGCTTCCTCAAGACAAGAGCCTTTTGGCAAACTACCCAAGTTCGGGGCACGTAGTACTCGTAGCTTCTGGGAGTGGGGGGGGGGCCATGACTCAAGCTATCCGGCTCAGTCTCATCAGCCCATGCCTCACTTCTTCTCCAGATGGAGCGCCCAAGGCCTTCTCGGTGCTCTTGGCGTTTCTTCCGGCTGCCATGGGGAGTGACAGTGCGTCGACCCAGGCACCCTCCACCACTGTGCTGAAGGCCAGGCGGCTTGCCGTTATTTGGTCCTTCAAAAGTTGCTAATTTGGCTGCTTTGTTGAGGTCTCAGTGACCTGTCGGAGAGTGGAACAACGGCAGAACATCATCGAAATCAACACCACCTCGCTCCTCACTACTCCAAACAGTGTTCTTTTTGGGGGCGGACCGACCTGCGTCGAAAAAATGGGGGAACCGACAACACTACATGTGTCAATGTCGACACATGTCGACTTGGAGCAGTGCAAGCTTGAACAAATCCAGACCTGGGGAAAGAGACATGCTGGGTTAACCCGTTGCTCATATATGAAGGATGTGGGCCGCTCCGCTTGGTCGAGCGCTGGTGGCTGGTGGCGTGGTGTTTGTTTTTTTTCGCGGCCGGAAAGAAAGAAGCGCCGTAGGTGGAGGATGGCGCACAGACCTCCACATCCACCGGATTGTTGGAGGAGCCGTTTTGAGGGCGAACAATGTGGCAGTTCGGGGAGTGGAGAACTCCAAGATGTGCGGAGTTGGGAGCGACCAAGCGTCAGGAGGTAGGCGAAGATGCCCATACCTTAGACTGGTAGACGTGGTTGGATGCTATGGTATTCTTCTAGAAGCAACGCATGCTCTCTGAATGGAGGCTGATGTTCCAAAAGCTATCCCCTACCGGTCATTGACCTCATTGAGTTATGTTTTTTTTTGGCATGAGCCGACCAAGCAAAATAAGGTCCATAAGTCCTAGAGGTGCTCCAGAAGTGGCTGCCCCTCTCTTCTTTGTGGGTCTTACTTCCCCCCTCATTCCGCAGGAAGTCATGGACGTGTCCAGCAACCCCACCACTGGCATCGTAGCCGCGCTAGTGGCACCAAGCTCAGTGCGAAGTTGTTTCTTTCCTTTTTTTTTTTGGGGGGGGGGCTTAGGATGTTATTTGAACGAATACAAGCCAACTTGTTTGCATTCAACATGGTTCAACCGGACACCAGAATATGATGTCGTTTTATTCATTTGTCCAAGCGTTTTGAAGGTTGTGTTTTTTCGTTGGATCCCAGTGTTTGATCTCATGTTCTTTGAAGCCACCAGCAACCGGAAGCCACTGAAGTGACCGGTCAAGTGCCCCATAGACTGCCATAGACCTCAGCTGACAATCCCTTCCAGCAGTGGCGATTTCGTGCACCCTCAGCAATTCATCAACAGCTTTGTGCAGCTTTGTGCCATGTTAACCAGGGGGACCCAGCTCACAAATTGAGACCGGCAGAGGGCCCAACAAGACAACCCAAAGCACCTGTTGGAGCTGGAGGGATCAAGCTGGATTTTGCAACGAGCTGACTCTACGCCCTGTTGTAAGACACTGGCACTCCTTTCACCACTTACTTCCCGCTTGAGTGGACGACTCACCAACCTCGCCTCCAGCAGTCGGACGTTCCACTCTCATCAGGGCGGCATTTGTTTGCTGGTGATTTTTTGGCGATGCTTCAAGTGGTGCGGAGCCGATGTGTTTTCGTTTGCGGAGTTCGGAGGGTGCAGGGGGGGGTCGTTAATGTCGACATGGCAGCAGTGGTGGCAGCACATTGGTGTGTACAGTGGCCGTTGGGGAGCACTGTCTGACTCCGAACCGATTTGTGCGTTGAAACTTTTGGATTGTAGTAGTTTTGTATGGGTTTGCAGGTCCGCTCTACAGAACCATGTTCATGCATCAAGTATAGATCTGGATTTTCTGGCAGACTTGAATTCTCTTTATGGGATATTGTTGGCACACTTCAATTTCCCCTTTGAGCGTAGCATTTGGAATCACACAGTAGGTGTCCACTACAGCAGGTATCGCCGAAAGTGGCTATGGCAATGAAAAAATGGACCTGTTAATACAAATTACACCTGACAGGACTTCAAGTGGAAGTATGTCAAACTTGAGCAGTGTTTGGTCAGACGCATCAACACTAAGTCCCTCGGTGGGTGCTCTTCAGAAAAGCCAATGAACTTCATGCGCAATTCTCATGGTTCCCTCCCCTCCCCCCTCTGGCTCGTTCCAACGCAGGTTGACCAGCCCAAAGAAGACCCCAGCACCCTTGCTGGCGGACACCGAGCTCACCGAAGGGGACTGAGCACACGCGTGAGTGCTGGGAAGGTGGAATGAGACGCAATAATTTTTCCAGGTTCATCCGTCAAAGGAGCAGCAAATCTGATTCAACTTTGGCACTTCTCAAAGCTACCTTGCTAAAGGAAAGTTGAAGGGCGGTAAGACAGTGAATGAGGACAGTATAGAATTCTATATTTCATTTACAATTCATTTACAAAGAACTCTTGGAGTGCATGTACCCTATAGACTCTAGACTCTACGGTTTTCACCTGTTTTTAGCCCATGGTCCTGGAAGCAGATCTCGAGGTTCTGTCCCAGGAGACACCAGGGGGTTCGGTCCCTTCTCGGCGATCCGACCGTTCGGAGACCGGGCGGCGAACCCGTTCCGCTCCCATGGGGTCTGCCGGATCGGCCCCTTCCAGAGGTGGAAGCACATCACTACCACCCGCCCAGAGGTTTGACCATGTTTGACCTCTGAAAGAGCGGGGGGGCACCACTGAAAAACACCAAACAGGAACACGACCCCCACCAGTATCCCTCAGTCCTTTCGCCTTACTGGACGGTGGGCCGGGCGAATACTTGCGACTCGCTTTTTGGCTCAGATTGATTGAGCTGCCTGTTAGGTCATAGCTAGCGGGAGTGCCTCAGTTTTCTGGGGCCAGAACTTTGGGAGCTGCATGGCTGGAAAGCTTGGGCTTGGGAGGTGCCCTTGGTTGTGTTGTACGGCTTGTATGAGGCAGAATTCAGGATGGCCCACTTGTCCTCTCCTTCTTCCACATGCTCGCGCTTTTGAACAGACATGATGACTGTGTGTTTCTCGAGAAATGGGATCCAGACAAATCCTAGGTGGAGCCTCAACACTACCAGTACACCCTACACAAACTCGCATGTTTTGGACGTTTAGGCGTTTGGAATGTTTGCTCGGGTAAGGGTTACCCTTGGTTCTTGGCACCTGCTTCGGCCTATTCAACGCTGGGGTTTGACGGGGTACGTTTCAGAACGGCCAGGTGCCATTGACCCAAGCGCCACCCGCCTTGACCTCCAAACCGCCCTCCCTGCACGCCCTCGGCCGAGCCAAGGCACATGGGTTGGGCCAGCAGTGCTCAGGCACAGGAGGCCTCGCGCAGCGCGCTGGAGGCGGCCCGCCGGGAGTTGATGCGCTTGCGTGGCATCAATCATGCTTCGGAGGCGCCGGGCTGTGGGAGAGGTCGTGGGAGGTCGTAGGATGGGATCACGGCAAACCCTAAGAGAAGGAGGATGATACATGATGATACCAGGGAGAACGCTTCCTTTGGGTTTGCCTCAGCATGCCAGAACATGGAACCATAGGCATGCTAGGTGAGAAAGAAACTCTACAGCAGTCTCGGGGAATCTGAACATGCCAAAACAATCCAAAACATATCTTCTGGCTAAGTTATCTATAGTTATCTCATTTCTCACACATGGCAACAAGCCCCCACCAAACGTTTACTTTACACAGCATTGGCAAGTCAAAGATTTGACATAATAAGTCATAACTATTGGGCCATGATGCATGATTCATGATCCCTGGAACTCTCAAATAGCCCCTTGGGGTATGGCTTCTGCCGTCGCGACTGGGACGGCAGGTCAAATCCACTTCCGTGGCTGCAGCCAACGAGTGGTGACCCCAGTTGTCAGGAGAGGCTAGTTGGATTTGGCCTCAGAAACACTCTGGGTGGCCAACTCAAGGCAATCATGCACAAGCTAACTAACCTGGTGGGCAATTCTCCCAAACGAGACACCTCTACAAGATGATCGATATAAATTTGCTCCATGTCTATACTTTGAGGCGTTGTGGCATTGTACGCTCCAAGAAATTTGATTGGTTGGAAGTACGAACTAGGAGTTTTCTCTAAATGGCCTCCAACCTGCTAGCAATGGCCTCCAACCTAATAATAATAGCAATATAGTATATAGTAATACTTTCCTTTCCATCATCTCAGGATAGTCTGTGGACCCCTACCCATGTTCCCCGAGGGCGGCACGCCTACAAGTGCTCCTGAAGAGCGTGGAGACGGAAGAGAGTAGCGGCCACGGGTCGACGAAATGAGCTGCGCTGGTGTTTTACGCGACGTCCCTGAAGAAATGGAAATTCATCCTATTTGGCACACGGGGGACAGCCATCTTCGCAAAAAACATGTGTGTATTTGTTGGGGGGTTGCGTGGAAAGGTTGCGCAGAAGTTTGATGCTAATATGCAAAGTAATATGCTAGTAACTGCTAGTAAGTGCTACTATAGTAAAGATTGTGAGTGGAACTCGTTGAATGGGAGAAGATGAAGGAAAATACTATTCAACCTTTGCTATCAAATGCTCACTTGCCACTGTTTCCACCAACAGGTGGGTCAGAAGGTAGCATACCTCCCAACAAATCTTTTTCACCTGTTCAACATATTTCGACCATTGTTCAGGAGCCCAAACAAATACCTTAGAAACCGCTCAAAAGAAGACCAGAGTTGGCCTAGCATCCCTCCGCTTCTTTGCCCTTCGTCGCATCCCTTCCGAATACGACCGATTCGCCCCTGAGGCGATCCCAGCAGTGATGATAGCTTTGAACTGGTCGAGAGCAACTCTCTTTCGGCGGGATCTTTATCATCCTGGAAGGATTTGGGAGAGCCTACAGGTGCCGAGTCCGGAAGCGCCCAGTCCGCGTAGGGGCGCGCGGGGGATACAGCGTGGTCAGTCAGTGTGAACAGGTCCCCAGGCGTGCTCCGCATAGGCGACATGGGAACTGTCTCTTTGGGGGGTTATGGATCATAGGGACATGTGGCACAAAAAACTGCAGTTTGCGTCAGGATTCCGATTGAATCCTGATATGTCATTGATGTTTAATGATAAGAACCTTTGGAGCATCTGGATTTATGACATGGATCATTGAACCACGGCTGCTTCCCGCTCTCAGCAGACTCCCTTTTGGCCCAGAAGGCTCACCCTTGCTCCTGGCCCTGGCCCGTCGAATGAGATGGTACCAGGTGCTCCGACCACCGGGACTGGGGCCATCGAAGAGACCTCCAGGCCCGCATTGGGACAGGGGGTGGGTGGGGCAGGGCCACCCGGAGTTCTTGTTGTTCTTGTTGTGCGTTGTGACCATGTGTGACCCGTTTTCGTGGCGATCAGCCCTGAGCAGCCAGCCCCCGTCCCCGGCCCCTGCCCGGCCCCTGTCGGCACCGCGAAGATGGCACGTTGGATGGCGTTCTTCGTGAGGACAGGGAACCGTTGAGAGGCGAGCTCGTATCCATGGGGCCCAGATTTTGTGGACCATCCGCGTCGGCCTCCTAAAAAGCCTCCTGGAAGAAAGAAAATAGACATAATCCATTGGGCGTCCCCGTCCCCTTTTAAATTGGTGAAAAGACCACGACCCACATGTTCATGCAACTTCTGGTGATGTGTTGGCCACCGAATGAACATCAATTAGGCCCCACCTTGTGGCACATGTACTTCTTCCAGAGGGGCTATGAGCATCACGGATGTCATAGGATGGCAGCCCCACTCTAATTAAGGGTCAAGTGATGGTCAGATGCACATAAGTGGCGTAGGGTTGACCTCGCTCCTTGCCTTCTGCTGGGTGACCGCCACGGCGATTGGTCACAGGCGGCGAGGCAAGAAGAGCGGACGAACGCGACAGAGAGCAGCGAAATGGAGGAAGGAGGTGCGAATCAGGAGAGCAGCGGACGTCCGACGGCGCGGAAGAATGGAAGACACCAGAGGATCCAGAGGTGGATTCCGTATGCGGATTGAGCGGGATGCCACCAGCAGCATATTGGAGTCCAGTCCTCATTGCTTTCGTTTGGTTCTCAGTGGCAACTCGTTCTAGAGGTACTTTCACAAAAAGATTGGCCCAACCCCCTATAGAGTAACCCTAGTACCTTTGCCTCTAGGCTTGTGCGACATCTACAGCGTCCGCTTTTGATCATGTTTGGTCTGCGGCGGGCAGAAGTGCGACGGTCAGGACTCCCAGCCCAGACTTCTACCACGTCTCCTTCAAGACTCAAGTTGAAGCGACCCGGCAATGATGCGGTATCTCCCCCGACCCGCAACAGCTGTTTCAGAGCGCCAGCGCCGGCGGAGATCTCACTCTTCGATTCTCTGTGCCGCACGTACAGACATTGCAGCGCAGGGCGGAGAAATAAGGCGGAATGCACGGTGCAGGTGCTGGGAAAGAGGATCCAAAGGTGACCATATATATGGGTTGTACATTGCACTGGCATGGCGCATTGAAGGAGTTGGCTCTTATGTCTTGAGCAGCATTTGGGCAAGTTAGATGGGAACCGTCATCAACAGCATGCCCCAGGTCTATTTATCAAGATGTTACGTTATCAAGATTGGTTACTTTCATGCAGGTATGTTCATGAAATGGCACATGTCCGATTACCGCCCTTCGCTGTGCCACCAACTGGGACAAACTTTTGGCAGAACAGTGCATGCTGAAGAACCCCTGGTAGGAGCACAAAACCCCACTTCAAGCATTTGTGGCATTTGCGCAACAAATCTACAAACATGTCTCAAGTGTCTGAATTGAATTTGAGCCGGTCAGTTTGATTGGGGCAACGGATACGGCAACTTTGCACCAAAAGGCAGACGGGGGTCTCAGACAATTGAGTGTGCGGCTTTTTTGCAACCTCCATGCCCTTGTCCCGCGCCCAGTCCTGCACCCCACTCGTTCGCAGCATCCGTAGGACCCAGTGCATGCTCCCGATCCGCCCAATGCGCTGTGGCCTTTGCCTCAGATGTGGCACGCATTGCATCTGCCACACGCGTGATGTGAGATGTGCGCTTGGTGAAGCAGCAGCCAATGAGAATGTTTCAGCATCCTAGGACAACCCAGAAACATCGTCATCCTCCACTGTACATCCTCCACTGTATGATCATATTAAGTAGGGCTAACGCCCTGGTGCCGCCGACCCTTTTTGGGCGAAGGATGGCGCCGTTTGTTTTGCCAGCTATGGTCCGGAGATGCAGAAAGGCTACAAGTCACAGTCTTTGATGCATATGGGGGCAGGAGTTTGAAACACATTGCGAAACCAAGATGAGCAGGCTAGATCCTACACTGGTTTATGACATGCTGACAACAGCGTTAATTCACCACATTCATGTGCCCCCAAAATGTCCAGTCGGGTAAATAGATAGGCAGTCAAAATACATGGCATGTTTGAGGCACTTGTTGGGAGATGCCGGTGAGTGTGGAAATCATGATTGTTTACTATACGCGCATAGACTATACTGGGGCGCACTGCAACGTGAGTTAACAAAAAGACAACAACGTGGTTTTGATGTTCCTGTGTCGTGGAAGATGGTTCTTCCGCCAGCCTATCGGGTCAAGCAAAGCCGACCTGGCTCTTGAGTGGAGATGGTGAGCGTTTTGGTTGCAACATTGCGCAGTAGCCCGTCTTGGGACCCGTGACCATCTATAAGGTCCTCGCTTTGGGGTTAACTAGTTGGTGAGTTCGCCTCACATTTAAGTCTGAAAGACAAATGGATTTTCAACATGTCAACAACATGTCACAAAGATTCCAGCCGGGTCCTGAGTTGAAATCATGAACGTCGCTGATGAACGGTTGTGCTCAAACATTTACAGCTGGTGGTTCACCAGCCGACAAAAATCGCTTGTCGATGTGGCCTTCAACTTGAGTCAGACCAACGTTGTTTCGTGACTGAAGCAGTCGTTCGACCACAAAAAGCAATGCAATGTATTTAGTCTTTAGCCCGCGCCCGCGGCCCTTGGTGGAGCCAGTGCAAATCCAAATAGTACCGCGTAGATCTGTTGAACGGCACTTTTGACTTGAACTATGGTTAGACCACAAAATAGATATAATCAATTTGCAATCTTTACGGTCTTAGGCTCGCCCGCCCTTGGTGGAGCCAGCGCCGATCCACATAATATACTTACATATTTTTTGCCTCTCGCAGATTTGCCATGGCAACTCTAGATGTGGCTGCCTTAAAGACCAACTTAGCGGCAGAAGAATTTTGCCCAGGCTTCCGCTACTCGGACGAATTTTCGCGGAGATGGGTCGAAAAAATTGGGGTTCAGTTCAGCCGAAGGAGCCGTGGATACAATAAGACTGTCCAAGAATCGTTCTCTGCTGTCTGGACTGCGTTGGACGAACGGTTCCCTGAAAGACAGATCACTTGGCCGGTGTGGCCAGCTGCCCGAGACCTTCTCTCTGTTGGGAACTTGTAACACATGAAGCCTTTGGATCGAACAATAGTTCCCAACATCTACAGCCAGAAGGTCTGCCGCGTGGCTACCCGTGATTCTTTCAGCGACGACGTGTTGGTCAAACGCATTTATGAGAATCCGCCATTGGCTTTCGATCTTACTTGGCGCCATAAGGGCTTTAAAGCTTTTGAGGAGATTTGGCCTCAGGCTGAGAAAAATCAATGTTTGTGAGTGAGGGAGAGGCGCCAGCCGCAGCAGAATCTTCAGGGGCCAATGAAATCGATCGCTTCGATTATTCAGAGCAGATGCATTAAAAGTACCAGGTTGATCAGGGCAGGCAACTACAGAAGCACCCGGGTGGTATTTCTTGGGATGGTGGTGCGGCGCGTCAAGCGCTCGACGTTGCAGCTTTTGGATCGCCAGACGGCAACTACCAGTGTCTAACGTCGCTTTTGGAATCCTATAGAAGAACAGGTGCGGAACTGCGTAGCAGCAGCCAAGGTGATGGCCATAGACCGGTCCTGCTGCCCTGTAGAGAGCTCAAAAAGGGCTGGTGTCGCCACAGCCTTCCCTGCGGAACTGCGTAGCAGCAGCCAAGGTGATGGCCAGAGACCGGTCCTACTGCCTTGCAGAAAGCTCAAAAAGGGCTGGTGTCACAGCGCAAACGGATGCCAAGTTGCAGCTACCAGTCTCTAACACCGCTTTTGGACTCCTATAGGAAAATGGGGCGGAACCGCGTAGCAGCAGCCACGGTGATGGCGGCCACAGACCGGTTCTGTTGCCGTGTAGAAAGCCAAAAAGGGCTGGTGTAGGTGATGGCCTAAAGCATGTCTCCTGCTGAGCAACTGAGGCCATGACAAGCTGGCAAAGCCTTTGCTCGAACCACCAAAGGCCCAATGCCAACCGTTTCACCCTGCGGTGTCCCACACGCCGCCCCGCCTAGGCACCAGCCAGGCCGGGGTCGGCTGATATCAAATTAGTCCGACTGCTCCTTTCTTGTGATTCCTTCAGCGAGCATGGACGGGCATACATTCGTGTTCAGGATGGGCGGCGCTGGTCCGGCGCGTGAGCTAATGCCTTCGAGTTCCGCCGGTTTTACGTCGTGCGGGCCTCAAACCCATGCCGTTCTTGCCGCGCGGAACCGCGCCGCGATGCGCGTGGTTTTCAGCCAGTGCGTGAGCTACGCTTCGTGGGGGCGGTTGTGCGAGGGGCGGTTTAGGTGGGTCGCGGCGTTGGTGTGAGTGTAGAATCGTGCTGATGAGTTCAGAGGGGCCATGGCCCTGAGAGTGAGGGGCCATTGTGTTTAGAGTGAGGGGTGTAGTGTGGTCGGCTCAGGTGTGTTGACTCGTTTTGCGGAGAAGCTCTGCTTGTCATCGAGGGGGGCTCACAGCTGACAGAGGAAGAAGACGGGAGCAACAGCGCTTGGATCCTTGAGAAAGTGCAACAGAAGCCCACGCCAAAGCACTCCCGGAACAGTGGACATGGACAAAACATGAAAAAAACACAGAAGCTGGCTGGCACCAGGACCATCCAAGGGGTGTCCAATAAGGATTCATAGGTGCCCATGTAGTGTAGTCTATTGGGCACCCCTTGGATTGTCCTGGCAGTCCTGCTAGACTGAGGTTCTGAGAGCAAACAATCTGTGAGAGAGGCTGAGAGGACATCTATCCGGCTTGCCGCCGTGGCAACGGCTGGAAGAAGGCCTTCACGTGCCTAGTGTTCGGTTGGTCTGTGGAAACACTAGGCGCAGATCATTCAGATCAGTCGGATCGTTTGGTTCATGTGCAAGGTATTCGCTTGATATTCCCCTTTCAGGGGGCCGTGATGTGGCATCATGTCCAGCCGGCTGGAAATGTTTAAGGCTGACTGGGTCGCGTAAATATAGGCGTTGGGCTTAAACCCACCAAATCCGAACTTAATTTATATACAATCTTATTGACTGTTAGTCTCCTCCTGTTCACTGTTCGTCTCCTACTACCCTGAATGGCCAAACATCTCCAACTCATCTTTCTTTAGCATGCAAAAAATCGAAATGTTGAACGTACAATTTTGGGTCTTCAAATTTGTTATTAGTTGATTGAATGCTTGTTGGGCGGCTGCCAGAGAGGAATGTCCTCTTTTCTGTTTTTTTCTTTTTGCCCGGCACCTGTGGTGCTTCAAGTGCAGCTGCTTCCGAACTGCTCTGCAAAAGAATTGCAGGGCCATTGTGAAGGGCGAGGGTTGGAGGTGGCCCCTTGATCTTGAGGCATGTTCCACCTTAGTTCAGTTTCCCTCCAACAACGTCGATACCTGTCACTAGATGTGGTGTGTGGCTGTCACTAGATGTCTCCCTGGCCGAGCTTGCATCTTTTGCGCGCAACAGGCTTGCTGCAAAGCATGAGCTTGTAAACCCAGTGGAGGCCCAGAATGAAGATGCCAGAGCTGCTTGTTACTAGATTCAGCTTGCTAGAGGCGCACAATGATTATTGATATGCATTCAACATGAGGTCCCCTTGAATATTTTGTAGGCATCGTTTCGATTTTGCTTGGGGACTAGAAGTGTTTTTGAGCTTTCCCAATCGTGCTATACATGGGAGCTCAAGATTGTAGGCCCCTGCACAGGATGAGGCCCACTCCTCCAAACTGCAGTGCCCATAGCACTGCAGTGCCCAGGGCATGCGGCTCAAAAGGTGACCGGAGTTGATGGCCGATGTGTCCTTTTACCAGTGTTTTGTTCTCTCATTGTCTTTTGATGCCACGACCAGGTTTCTGGCTACCGGGTCTTTGACCATTCGGCCCATTCCAGGTCTTACAGCAAGTGAAAGAAAGAGTGCCCCTCAGCTAGGAGGGTCAACTCCAGATGAACATGGTAAATCAACTGTTCAGACATGTTCAGACCTACATCAGCTTTGCAGACCAATTCTTGGCGGATCTTTTTCAGTCAACCTCCCATGTCGGGGAAAGATCCCCGCACAGAGATGGCCATGGAGGGAAAGCCACCGCACTTCCATGTCCACCGTAGGTTCTGGAGGGAAAAGCCAGGGCCGTGAACTAGTGACTAGTGTGTCTAGCCTAGAAAAGTGTTGGCGCAAACAGAAATGACAACGCAATATTAGTTTGTGCAAGCAGTGGTGTTGCCGATGTGATTTTCAGTCATGGCAGCCATGTGTCCCACTGGGCGCTGTACATGAGGTGCATGAGGGGTGGTCCGAGGGCACTGGTCTTTCCACCTGTTCAGCTGACATTGAGCACATGTGCATGAGCCGTTTCCACATCGGCCAATGTGTAGGGCTTTGGAGGTTTGGGCATGGTACAAGGAAGGAACCGTCGATGGACCGCCCCTCCTGTATCTAGAGACGAGAGCTGTTATTTGCCAATTCCAACATCATAGAGACGGATGACAGGACCAAGAAAAGGATATTCTGTTCTCGCTAGTTGGTCAGAACACGCCAAGTACTACCAAGGGTGGTGCTAGGACCGAAGTCATCACACCATATCACACCACTAGTCACAGCACTATTTACTGTAATTGGAATTCTTTGATATCAGGGTAATTAGTTGGCGCAACTCCCAATGCTTGCTAGTTATGAACCATGGATGACCATGGGTCATGGCCTGAGTCTAAGTGACCGGGCCATCGGCCCTCAAACCGTCAAACCACTCATACAAATCTGCACTCCTGCAACCCATCTCTTTGATAAGATGAATTGTGGTGGATGGAGATTGCATCCTCAAGGACTGGTGGGCAGGACCCGCGGGCAGGTGACACTCTTGAACAATTGAAGGTCCTCATGAGACACACATTACCCCAAAAACGCGGTCGTCGTTGTTTTGGTTGTTTGCATCACTAGGGCTTTCAGACATTTTCAGGCGCGCGGACCCACTAAAACAGATCGTCCGACTGAGTCCTAAAGCCGTTTCCCTCAGAGGTTGTGAAGCGGAAAATCCGAGCACAGGCCGTTCCAAGAACAACCTTTTAGGGAACGCAGAGGTCGACGTTACTGGTGAGACCTCGGCAGCGGTTTTGGTGGCACCAGGCCAAAATACAGTTTTAGGTGAAGAGATGTGTTGACCGGGCATCACACATTGGGAGCGCTGTGTCGGCTTCTCCCAGTTTGTTCGCCACGGGACCTTCTTCCTCACCGAGGTTCACCATCGGTCCTCTTGGTAGGGCAGAGACATGGGGACCCATCCCAATATCAATAGATCGAGAAGAGAGAAAGAGAGAGGAGAGGGTCATCAGGGGGTCCTGGATGTACTCTCAGCTTTGTGTATGCTGACAGACTGAGCACAGGGCCGTCGTAGGCCGAGCACCCGTCGAAAAGGAGCGAGGCATCGATGGGAGTTGACTTTTCGGGCAGTCTATCCTTGTCAGCACGGATTTTTTGGAAGCCAAAAGAAGCTTGGAGAAAGGCACGCACATCACGCACATGAAAAAGTTTCATGAGTGCATCATGAGGCAGGATGGACCAGCCAGTGCAATTGGACCAGCTTCCTCTCGCAACACATGTGCTCTCAGCTCCAACTCGCTTTGATCGTCACAACCTGGAGGTGCTTTGATGCAAAGCAGCGTTAGATCATGTTGGATCATAGACCAAGACACCAGCTGCACTCTTATATACTGTACTAAGCAAAGACACCGGAAAACTGCAGAGTTTGAAAAAACTGGTTGCTTCCAATAGCAATACGAATGTGCTTGGCACCAGCCCCCACTTACTCCAACCGGACTCCAACCTACATACAATGTGTCCCCGCCAGTATATCACAGATACAACATCGCCTGAGGAGCCCCCGCGCGTCGGGCGCGGAACTCTGTACAAGGCATGCAGAAGTGACTCCCAAGGAGTCTACTTTCTCGAAATCAGTGCCAGGTGGATGACCGTACTGTACGTTTACGTGCTCGCAGTGATGTGTTTCTTGTTTCATCATGTTTCATGTTGTTTTTAAGTTAGCCCAGTGCAAATGCCAATCGTCTCAATGCTTCTCCACCGTGGTGACATGAGTTTCCGCATGGCGACATGGTGAAGTGCTGCCTTTGTGGAGCTGCTTGGCTCCGATGCGATGCTCGATGCTCCCCTGCTTTTGGTTTGGCTGACCGGGTTCACTGGGTTGGTTGAAACGACTGGCCATGCTCGTTCTTCCCGCCAAAAGGGCGTTCGCTCTTTGACTTCAAGACAGGCTTTTTATTGGGCGGGAGATACATAAAATGCAAGGAAATCTGACTAAGTGTTGACAAGGAGATTTGTAGAAGACAACTTTGGTGGGAAGGTAAGTAGGTGAAGGGCGATTCTGTGAGACCACCTCACGGATGAAGAGTTAAATGTATCCAGGATCCCCAATTTTTTACAGATGTTTAGATCTTTAAGGGTTAAGATGGTTAAGGGTGCAGCTTGTAGGACATTGTAGGCTTCAGGGAAAGGACCAAGTTGCAGCAACTTCCCTCAGCTGCCTCTTCGAAACTATATCCTGACTCATCTCGATAGATACCTCAATTCCAGTCTCAATTCCCCATTTCGGAGGGAAGACTGGGAACACTTGTCATGGCAGCAGCTCTTCCTCCTTTGCTACCTCAGCTTCATGTTCTGAGAAAGAAAGCGTTGAGTTGAGTTGAGTTGCTTTTCCACCCATTGAGCTCCACCCTTTGAGCTGATTCACCCTTTGGGTCATATGCCTCCTCATTCCTTTGGCTGGTGACAAGCATGAGAATCGCTGCATCATCATAAGCTCAAGGGAGGCCAATCCATATCATTTCAATTTTGCAGCAGAAGGAAAGCCGACCAAAAGCTCCAAATCGTTCCAGACAACTCCTCCACCACGATAGTTCTGTCTATACTTGAGCATGCCTAGCCTAGACAAATCTTCATCAGTGCAGAAATCGTCAGGTGCAGCTTTCGGCAGCAGTGCAGACTGGGGCCCGCTGTGTGCAATGCCTTCGAAAGGAGGTGAGGGATGCAGGGATGTGGGGAGAAGCTGCAAAGACCGTCAATAGAATGAATCCTAAAGTGGACAAACTAGCAAAAGGATCTTTCGATTTTGCCTCATGTTTTCCGCTACTTCGGCAGGAGCATGAAAGGAACATGAAGTCCCTGACCACTGGGCGCACCCTCACCTTGCCCGCCATGTATTTGAACCCTGGCCTCGGCACAGACTTGACCTATCGAATTCCACGCGGATAATGCTCCCCACCCTCTTCGCTGGAGTCGGCGATATACATCATATTTCTATATAGTTATATATAGTATTATATATGTATTTTCATGTATCATTATATAAATATGCATGTATGTTTATATGTATTAGGTATTCATTATATAAATATATATAACTTATATAACTTATATATATATATAATATTATTATAACAAGGTTTCGCGTCTTGTCCCACCAGGTGGACGTGGGAGCTTCGGTGCACCGGCGCGGCCAAGTGCACCGCTGCAATACCTGTCAGCGCTGGCTGCGGCCGAACGGCGGCTGGACGGTGGCCGACCCGGAGAGCCGAGAGCTGCCTGGAGCCTTGGGCGTCGTTCCTAGTAGCTTCTAGCTAGATCTACTAGTAGCAATACCAGGAGCTAGATACAGTAGATTCTTGATCTTAGTAGTAAGGTGCCAGAAGCTTCGTAGCTTCTAGCTTTACTAGCAGTATTGCCCTTGTAGAGGGTGTCAGGTGCCAAAGCTCAGTGCATCGTACACGGGAAGGTCGTTAGGTTGCAAATGATCAAACTTGTGTCAAGTGAATGCTGGACCTGGAAGGATAACATGGAACCTGAAAACCACGCCCGAGTTGTAGAGGAAAATCGTCATCCAAAAGTTTCACGCCATCAGGATCCATCAGATTCCATCAGGATCCTCTTCCGGGGTGTATCAAAGAACAGGGCTGATCCACTATTTGGTGTTCCACCTTTTTAGGAGCACCTTCAGACCTTGATCATCCATGATACTTTGCATAACTACCTCAGTAAGTAGGCGTAAGTAGGGATCTAGGAAGCCCTGCCTGCGAATCATGGAGGTCCTAGCTCTCACTTGGAGCCCATGGGCTCGCCCATCGGCCCGCTGAAGTGGCAGTTGCGCAGAAATCTGCCCAGCAATCCTCCCGAATGACCTGCAGTGATCGTCCTCACTACCTGGAGCCCTACGAGCCCAGCTGTCCCATTTCACCGAGGCTGGGCATTTGCCTGAAGAACGTCAAAGGTATTGGCCGCGAACTTCAACTGGCCCGGCTCCTCGGGGTTGCGGGCTGGAACGCGGTGGCCGTGAGGGTTGAGGGGGCCACGTGGTGGACGGGGCGTGGCCGTGAGGGGCCACAAAGTCTTTTCATTGAAGGTTGACGCTGTAACTGTTGGGTGGTTTTGTTATATATGTTTTGTTCCTTTGGTTTCAATGCTGCATACATGTGCATATCCATTCACTGTTTGGCGTTTTTTGTTGTGTCCCTCCTCTAGCTCCAATGGGGCAAATCGATGTGATTTGCCAGATGTTAGCATTGTTCCTTTTTGCTCGCGGAGGTTCCACAACACTGATTCTATCTGATTCTACTCGTTTGCTTGCGGCTGGCCCACCAAGACTTGGTCTCGGGCGGACTCCATGGGCTCTCGAAAACCGCTTCTTGATCCTGTTAAAGGCCCAAGGTAGGGGAGACCTGCAGAAAAAACGCGGACGCCCAGGTGCTCCAGCTTTGCTCCAATCCGAGGTTCACATGGTGACTGCGTCTGACAGGAGTGGCATGGAGTGGCTTGAGGCCTCATAAGGTGATCCACTAGCGCGGAACGCTCGCGTATGCGGTCGCCCCGCACAACAGACCTTTCTGTGAGGTCACCGCCAGCTTCCTGTGGACTGAGCCCCACTCGAAGGAGCTCAAGCTGAAGCTCGAATTGCAGTTCGGGGCGCCCAAGAGCTGGCCGAAGATTTCAGCAAGAATGCCCCCCCAAGATTTCAGCAGATGCTAATATAATCTTATTGCTCCACAGGCCGCACCAATTCGCGAGAAGTGGAAGCCAGAGGAAGCTGGTGTCAGGGCACGCCACCATCCCAAAAGGGGCACCATCCACTCCACTCCTGACGCCGCGAAGACAAGCAGCTGGCGAGGCAAGAGGTCATCACCGGGGTGGTCGTGCGACAAGCGGTGGTGGTGGAGTTGGGCGCCCAGGTGCTTGGTGATCTTCGGGGGCTTTTTGGAGACGGTCGGCAGTCAATGGCGGTTTTTTTTTTTTCATGAGGGGTGCTTGAGGGATCCATTTGGGGTGTGAATCAAGATAAACAAGTAATACCCAGGCGCAGACACTCCCGTCTTATGTCATATTTATCGATCAGGCCAGGGGTGGTGCCAGAGGGGTCTGTCTGGGGCGGCATCTATGGCAGTCGCATGGAGGGATAGGGAGACTTCACAGCTCGACCCCCTGGAGGAAAGGAAGCATACCAAAACGGCAACAGGATGCCACAGGGTCTTATAGAAATACGCCCATTTGGCTCTATCAGTCTCTCTTTCAATGAGAAGGATGAGAACCAGCGGATGGAAGCCACTCCCCCAGAGTCGTGACTGTCCCAGCTGATCGGTGTCAAGCAGACCCGATGTGTTTCAACCCGATGCTGATCACGGGGTGAGCAGCTCTGGCCAGGCATTGGTAGGGCATTTCTCGGTCTTCACCATCCTGAACTCCTCGACCCACAACCCACGGTACTGCGATTGAGCCATGGTACTGCAAGCCTCAATGACCCGCATGAAGCACTTATGAGTCATGAGCCTGGTTTTGGGTTGCGGCCTGCCTTCCCCCGGTGGTCCCTGTTGGGATTCTGGAGCCTTCCGCTGCAGTTCCCACACGAGGTTGCGAATTCAAAACCTTCAATGTCCAGACTGCAAGAAGAGCTACACCAAGCACTTGTGGGATAGCTCGGTTCAGGCGCGGCCTTGGACCAGATCCGGTGGGCGAATGTGTGGGTCCAAAAGCATTCAGAATGGGCAGTCCAGATGTATGGACCTACCTGCTACGAACTGGATGAATTACACGATGACGCAGACTTCGGTTCGTACCTCCCCCCTGCAGGGGGTGCTGCTGGTAGGTGTCCAACTTGGCTTGTTCTTTTTTTTTGTCATGTTCCAGTTGAGCACCAAACAGGGATGGTTTATGATGGTTTGCTACATTTGGATATGCATGGCGAAGAAAGAACCTTTTGCAAGCTGCGAGGAGCTGTGATGTTGTCGCGTCATTTTGACAACATCAAGATGTGACAGGAAAAGTTCTGGCTTGTCACAATCTTCACAACCTCTCCAGGACACAACAAGTATGACATAAGACTGGCAAATGACAATGAGCCCCAGCTTCCCTTTTTCATTTGAACCCACAAGTTCTGTAGACCATCATCCGTACTAGTTATATACCGTCAATAATTACATATCAATATATTATATATATATATATCAATTGTATAATATCAATATTGGTATATGTAATATTGTATGTATATATGTATATATATCAGTGTGTTTGTGTTTGTGTGCAACCACCATTGATTTAATGTCATTTGCCAAACAATCATCATTGTTTTACACTACAAAGCCAGGTCAGTCAATCTCTCTTTAAAATTAGTGGTTTTGCAAGGCTGGATAGCAAGGACATATAAACATACCGTACGTCGTAATATTTGTACTTATCTTATGATATCACCCTCACTCGGGCACCCCGTAACATACGGCCGTAACGCTTAAAAACGCCTTGCGCGCCGCAACGACGCGCCGCTGGCGCGTGTGCCAATGGAGAGCGTGACGGGCTCGGTGCCACTGCTGGATCCACATTTCCACTTCTTCGACCTCCGTCCGGACACACGGTCCGGGCACGATGGTCGGATCCTTGAGCTGCCGGAGCACCGGCAGGGAGTCTATGATGTGGAGAGCTATGAGAAGGACATGGGGAAGGCGCCAGAGGCCGGGTGGTCCTTGCTCGACCCAGCTAGGAAGAAGTGGATAGTTTTCAACCTCTTTGGGAGATTCGTTTCTCCCAACTGAACATGCACACAAAAGGTTAGCCCTTATTTCTCAGGGGAAACTCAGGCGGGTCAGTGGAAGAAAGGCCAGCTTGCTGTTGGCCCATGTTCTGTGACGATTGGTCCTTCGGATTGCTCGAGAAGCCTTGGCGTGCCTCCTGTGACTTCGGTTGATGCACCAAGAGCAGCATCACGGCCAAGCCGACCTGTCCCCCAAGCAGCTGTGTTTGTCAAGACCCTATGCCTGCCAGGTTCCAAGACATTCCAAGACCCTTAAGGGAAAGATTGGCCTGGTTTTGTAGTGTAAAAACCCATAATCAACAAGTTTTTTTTTTTTGGGGGGGTGGTTGGGACTATATAAACCCATTGTATACATCAATGGTGAACCATGAATCCTAGGGAAGATGCATCAGGCTCAACAGTTATTTTTGAGTGAAGCCGTCTACATCCGAAGACCCCGAAGGTCTTTACCGTTCAAGGCGGTGTCTTTCTGGAGGCCGTGAGTGTGTGTCATGTGGAGCTGGGCGGGCCAACCTACGAGGCCCACTGTTTCAATGAAACCTGGCACCAAGAAGAGCAGCCGTTGCTCAGTGTGTTGATGTTCTGTTTGCCCTCTCAACATGTCTTAAAGAACCATGTGTGTTTTCTTTTTTTTTTTTGGGGGGGGGTCAGATTCGGTCAGATTCCTGTTTTCTCCTACTGTCCCTCCACAACAAGACAGTTGGCTCAGCTTATCCATTTTCAAAGAAACACCAGGAAGCGTCCTATGCGGCGGAGCAATTAGCCAAGAGCTCCAAGAGCTATGTCATCGTCGCAGCATGTGCTCTTGAAGAGCCGACGGCACCGAAGCTGTTAGCCCGATTGGTGGAGCTTCCGCAGGTCAGGGGCATCCGGCAGATCTTGAATCATCAACCAGACTGGCCCCGGAATGCGCGGCTGGGAGATTTGTTGGAGAATGTGCAGTGGCGTCAAGGTTTTTCAACATTGCAACTTGATCTTTGAACATTCAACATGGTTTTGCATGTGTTGAAGCTGGCTTCGGTTTTGTTTGGACTTGTTTGCCCTCAACATGCCTGCAAGCTTGTTTGCCTTACTGTAAAGCAGGCTGGCTACAGGTGCAAGCAAGTTTGCAGGCATGTTGAGGGTAAACAAGTCCAAACAAAACAGGTATGAGTACAAGAGTGGCACGCATTGTATATATGGTCCAAGCAAGTGAGGCATGAGTATGGTCTGAGTTTTGATTTGCAGCTGAACTTTCATCAGTTCAAGAAAGCTGCCGAACTGCTCAGTTCACAGCCAGAAATCTCTGTGATTATTGATCACTTGGGCAGTCCCCGATTGGAGGATTTGTCCAAAGAAGAGTATTGGGAGGGGCTCTTGAGCTTGGCTGCCTGCCCCAAGACCTACATGAAGATCAGCATGTTGTCGTACATCCACAAGGCCACTCTCCCCCTTTCGAGATATGGTGGCCGAATGTGACCGATGAAGAACGTGTTGGTTTTGCTATGGTTTCTCTCCTCCACATCACCAAGGGCCAACAAGGCTTTTATGCCCTACACTCGGACGGATGGATGATTGATCGTGAAAAACAACACCTATTGATAAGAACTAAGACGAGCTTGGTTCATAAGCCTCATGTGCTTGGCTTTTGCAAGCCTCACCTTCGAGACCTCGGACGCCCACCTCACCGCACCTCACCCGGTGAGGCCTGGGATCAAGAGCCCTCAGTGCTAGATGCCGTGCATCGGATCATCCGCCTCTTCGGTGTGGAGCGCTGCATGTTCGCCAGCAACACGCCAGTGGATCAACAGGCGCGGTCCGTCCGGTCCGGTGCGGTCCGTCGTCATTCTCATCAGTTGGTGCGGGGAGGTGGTTCTTATATAGATGCTTCTTGGCAGGAAGGTGGAATAGGTGCGACATGTATATATGTTATGCACATAACATATATATATATACATTATATGCTCTCATATTCTCCCTCTCTCTCTCTCTCTTTTTCTGTTTTTCTTCCCTTCTTTCTATCTGTTCGCGCACGGACAAGACTTGAGGGGTTTTCGTGTGTTTGCTTCCACCAACCGCGAGGATGCTTGGCCTCCTGACCGCCTCTACGCTGCCTTTTGGTCCCTGGCCCAGCCCTATGGGCCTGAGAGCCTGCGTGAGCTTTTTGCCGGTACCGCACGGCGTGCCTACCGGATGTGAGGACCAAAAGCAGCAGGACTCTTAGAGAAGGTCTCTGGATCTGAAGTTGATGTGGTAAGACAACAATATTTTATTAGTTTGATGCTCTCACTCACGTTCTTAGTTCTTGGGCCGCGTTTGGGGATTCCAATCTTGGCTTTCGGTGGGGTCATTCGTCACCGGTGTTGGAATGCGCCAGTGATGGCTGAAGACATCAGAGGTTTGCTCCTGAATCCTGAGGGGGCATGGAGAAAAAAAAAGGGATGACGAATCAACCGCCCAAGTGAAGCTTTTCTCAGATTCTGGGCTAGTAGCCCACATACACATACAGTAAAATATATCATTGCTGAACTCAAACATTGCTAGTTACTAGCAGTCACTGACACCCGGTTCCGGTTTTGTGCAGCGTGGTGGAACACCGAAAACACGACACCGGTGGTGACACATCACCACTAACTCATCACTTCTCAGATGTGTTGCTCCCAATTCTTCACCGTTTTGAAGGAGACAACCTGTCAGATAGGAGACACAGGTCAGAGGACCACCTGTCTTGGAGACATTAACCTTCATGTTTTGCAAAACCACCTGTCAGATTGGGAGTAGCTGCCAAGAACCTCCAATATGAATACATGCGTTTTGGTCGTGGTCGGGAAAAAACTAGCAGCTAGAAGGTTGGCCCATCTTCCATGCCATTACGCTCAGAAAAGGGTCAGGTTTCAGGGTGGTTGAAAGTAAGGAGCCGAGTGCGTTCAAACATGTTCAAACATTCCCCTTCAACAGGGATCCAAGGAGCACTGACTGAGCACAGTTCCCTTTAAGCACTTGCTAGAGTTATTCCATGCTATCCCAAGTGCAAGTACCAAACCTCCCCTCCTTCCACTAATCTTCCGCATCACATTCTGTCGGCAGGTGCGACAGCGTTCCGAGTTGGGGAGACCCAGATGACTCAGAATGCAAGGCAAAGAACGGAGTCCTCCTTCCTTTCTTCCGGAGTTTGTTGGTAAGGCTGGCCTCCTTCTGGCCCGAACTGGATCCATTCCCCTGCTGTGGTTGCCTGCCTCGGGGATCTTGGAGAGGAGTGTGTACATCTCCCCTGAGTTATATGCATGCAAATTCTAGGTGACCATTTCTTGCTCCATTCTTGGATGCTACTGGTATCTCCTATTAGCACGAGTGTTCTCTGGCGGAGTCTGCGTTCAGCTTCAGGCCGAATCTAACACATTTTCACTCACCAGCCCGTCCGAAGATACCTTGGGGCATCATCCTCTGGCGAGAAAACCACGACATGCACACAACAGAAGCTGATGAGGAGGTTAAGGAGGCTGTCCAGGTTGACATGCACAAATGGTTCAGTACTGTCTCAGACGGCCTTTGTAGCTGGGCAGGCCAACTTCATTTATGTGCACTGTGGCACCGACAGTTCTGATTCTCCTTGTGTTGAACTTGCTTCAGTGACACAGCTCCGACCAGGATCCTTTTCAACGATTTGCTTCATGAGGCACCGCAAAACCCTGATGTCCTTGGAACAGCTGATCCTGCAGCACAAGGCCCACAAGAACATGATCCAGCTGAAGAACGTCAAGGACCCGCCCCGTGTGGAGGCTCCAGTCTCATTCTGAATTCTGTTGGTTTAGGGGTTCATTGCGGCATATATTGCAGCCCCTACCCAGTCAGTGGATAATCCTTGACCTTTTGGAGGGATGGCTTTCCCCACTAAAAAAATCCAAAAGGTGTACCGCTAATATCCGCTAATCTTTTTCCAGGGGAGCTGATGTTTCAAGAGGCATATGAGACATTACTAACATATGTAGGGCGTACCCCATAACCAGTAGCAGTCGGTAAACGACGATCACTATTTTGGGGATCATGGGCTTTACGTATCGCATCATCGTCCACTGGGCTCTGGCAATACCCAAGAAATATGCAACATGAGGGTCACAACGACCCATTGGTGCCAAAACGGACGTGTTTCGGTACGTGACTCACTCGCGTGCCGTTCAACGACCAGCACGGACCTTCCATTCCGGCAGCCGGGGATGTGGTGAATTGGGTTGCGAGTAGGTGTCCTAGTGTCCTAGCTCAAACATGTGCATGCCAGCGACCAGACAAGATGATCGACGGCTATCCTACTTCCCTCACATGTCTTCACCTATCATGGTTCCTAGCCTCCTTGGGTCCACATGTCAGCAACACCTTCAGGTTCATCCACCCTCCTTTAAACCCCTTTCGGGTGCAGGCAGGTGTCACCGATCAGCTTTGAACCATTGGGTCTCCTTCCATGGTCTTTCACCTGGTAGGATGGCTTGGACTTCTTTTTCAATCGAGAGCGCGATGCGCAGGACGACTCGTCACGGGTCGGGTCGGCGGTCGTCGGGTGTTTCGTGGTGGAAAAGCGCGATGGCTGATGACCTGAAGGGTGAAAACCATGGCAACAATAGGGGTTGAGCACCTTCCAAGTCTCCTTCAAAGGCTGCAAAGTCGTAGGGGTTGACATTCCGAACGGTGAAGGCCTTGCCATCACCGAGCATGCCTTTTGCCCGCGTGGACCTCGCCACCGTGTGGTGTCGCTCCTAGAGTTACCCAGGCCGATTGATCTCCCTTTGAGACCCACCAAGACTACAAGCAGCTGCACTGAAGGTGCTCTACAGTCACACTCCCGACCTCCCCACACCGGAAAAAGCAAAACATTTTCTCCCGGCAGATGATTGTGAAAGCATAATTATGAAAGGCGACCAACTTAAGTGTTATTTTTGGGCATGCTGGACCAGAGGACATCTTCACAGTATTATACATCTTTGATCCAAACGGAAGGGCGATGTTTGTGAAATCGGTGAAGTTTGCATGCGTTGGCAAACCCAACCATTTTTATATAGGTCAAGAATGTCAAGGGTCAAGAGCTGTTCTTGCCATCAGGACTTTGTGGCATTCCTGAAGAACTGGGTGGTGGCCCCTTGTCAGCGCAATGGTCGATGGCCCAAATATCCTGGATAGTTAGTTGACGTTAGTTGCCTGTCGATCTTTGCCATCATCTCGATGCTTTCGCCCCTTTGTGGACTCCAATGGTCAGGAAATCAACAAATGCGAATCCACCAAAAGGTGTGTCAACTGCTTGGAAGTGTTCAACTTGGATCAACTTCATGCTATGTGCCCTTGTTCTAGTTACCCCTCGGTCTGGCATTCCTCTTGTGTAGGCCATAGAAAGCCTTTGTCGATTCAAGGATTCCTTTCTCCGCCAACAATTGAACAGGTGGAAAATGGTTAACCTTAAATTTTCAAGGAAACTGATGGGTCAGGAGTGCATCATCAGCCACCGCCTTCCAAAAGATCGAAGGTGTTCAACCAGTTGCAAGGTAGATTGACGGTGTTTTGGACATCAAGTGAGGTTCTAGATATATAGGTGCATGATGGGTATGGACACCTAAGCTCCTGTCCTACCATGTCCTACAGAAATCCCTACGGAAACTGCGGACACGACCCGCCACTATCCTTTTTCTCCGCTCCTCATGGATTGGGTGAGTTGGGGTGAATGAAGCTCATCTTAGAAGATGGTGACCCGGTGTTCCTCTAAGAGCCAAGCTTTTGGGCTGCCCCGTGCTGAGAAAACGCCCGCGTGTATGTGATATCTTCGTGTTTTCCGGCAGCGGCGGCTGCGCCTGAAGGCACGACATCAGGAGTCAAAACACTTGGTGAGTCACAACGCCCAAAACACCACGTGCGCCCCAATCGATTCATCGATCCATCGATGTTTTTTTTGCTGCGGTGTTGCCGTGAGGCGGTGTTGCCGTGTGCGTTTTGGTACTTGATATTTGAGCGTGCGAACGCTCCGTTCGTAGCGATGCCCTTTGTTCCTAGTAGCTTCTTGCTACTAGAAGTAGTGCACATAGTGCACATGCTACTAGTAGGGATGCACTTGTTACATCTTGTTACTAGTAGCTTAGGAGAGCCCAGTGTGAACTGCGACAAGATTTAATCAAGATTTGAGACCAAGACATCATTCTAAGACTTTCACTAACAGAGCTAATTCTGCAGGCAACTGTGTACCATCAAGAACCTGACCATACGGCATTTGGATCTGGGGATCGCAGTTTCCGCGTTGTGGTGAACGGTCTTCCTCACCATGTTCTGCGGGTAGCATGCAGGCTCATACTTATCCTAGAAGGCAGTGGCAGAAATCATGCAGTCATCAGTCATGCAGTTTTCCAGTGATGCAGTTGCAGGTTGGAAAGCGTTGCAACTGGCAACTTTGGTGAGTTCAGGGCCTCCCCAGGCCTCCGCCCTCCTTTTCATTTTCAATGCAACTTCTGTAGCTATGGCTCCAAATCATCAAATCATGACATCGTCTACAGAGGCATTTTACGAACAGCAATTTAGTGACGATGTTTTAGTGGTTTGGAGTTTGACAATTTATGCCCCAGTCAATGGTGCAGGTCAAATAAGAGAGAAGTCACGGTGACTGACAGATGCCAGTAGATGCCAGTAGACTGTAAGCCAGTAGACTGTAACCTTTTCCTATCATTTCCCCGGCCTTCTAGGCCAGATCCATTGCGATTCCATCGCTGGATGGCGGGCGTCGCAGGGGACATTCCGTCGAGCCGCGCCCGCTTCGCGGCGCATGACACGCTGCGCTGGAAGTATCCGATCGCCTATGAGATGCTCAAGGCATTTTTCGGAAAGCGGTGGTGGTATCGGGAAGCAAAATTTGCCGATTGTGGCCCTGCGGGGGGTAACAATAATCTCATTGAAAGCAAGGGAGGGAGTTGGAGTGACGGGTATTATAGCCAGAGAGTTTAAAGCACACAGAGTTGGCAAGCTTTTGAGCTTTAATTGCAGACGTGCTATCACGTGCTTCAGCAACATGTCTTGGCAACATGAAGACAAGATCTTAGCAACTCTTCTCAACACAAAGTCTATAGGGATTTGACACTCCGAGCGCAAAACCGCCAGGCTTCGACCCTGAAGAGAGACCATGAGAGATCCATCCGCATGCAGAGCATTGTGGACGCCCGCAGTGCTGCGCCGAAGCTGCCACATGTGGCGCCGCTACCCAACACGGCGCCGGTGACTGGGCTAAGGAAGAAACGAAGGCAAAGGTGTTATCCTAGTATTAGTATGATATATTATCATTGAAGAGTTTGGAGTTCGATTTCATGACTCGTAGCCAGTAGAGCACCACTAAGTAAGCTCCCTTCTGCTGAGCTTGTGCGGAAGACATCAAATTGAAAGAGGGGGCGCCTTACTTACCAACTAGTATGTTTGATCCGATTTGGTCCTGTTTTGCGCCTCTTTCTTACGGTGTCCAATACCACGCAAGAGTTAAAAGTTGAGGCTCGAGGTGTTTGTAGACCTGACTTGTCCGCCTAAAGCCGTGGCTTTCCACACAAAGACATCCTGGCCGCAACTTTTGGTGTGTTCATTGGACTTCCACACAGAGTGAGTTCAGGAACCACTGGGGAGCAAACCTCGGAGGTTCCCTGGGGAGGTGGAAGGGACTCACCTCGGTGGTTTTCGTCGAGATATCGAGAAGTCTCACCACTGAGACTGAGATGAGCGCATCCGGAGTGGAGAAAGCTTTGCGGAGACAGTTGCGAAGGACACGCAGCGATCTACATCCCAGTTTTTTGCTGGATGGGGTAAAGCAAGAGATGTGCCAACGAGCAGCTCGGCAGGAGAAAAGCTCTTGATTTGCTGTGAAAGTGTGCACCAACAACAAGGCAAGTTAATGTTCTATTTTCATATTATATGAACATGTATGAACATGTTGCAATTGCAAACCGTTTGTATCTATTTTGGGGGGGTGGTAATGGGTGACGTTAAGACAACAACAGCAGCAACAACAACAGTAGACTTGAGGAGTTGCTGGGAAGAATCCGTAAGGAATCCTCCACCATAGGAACACATGTGGATCTTCCTTCATTGTCTAAGGAAGATCCGTGTGGTTCTTCGTTCGCGCTCGGATCGTTCGCAGTCCGACGTGACCGGTCGACGTGTCTGACCTGTCCCATGAGGCATGCATGACGGAGATGCAATTCAGAAGTCTCTCTCAGAAGCTGCTGTCAGAGTTGGGTAAGAGAGGCTCGCGCCATTAGAGCACAGCCTGCAAAGCAGGGCTGCGCGTCGTTTCACGTCGATCCAGGGCAGGCCAGCAAGGCCAGCAATGCGAACATGGGTGATGATCTCACTGCAGATGCAACTATACAGTCTTTACAGAACACTTGGACAAACGAACGTGTGCATGTTCGAGTCTTTGCGTGACATCTCGCCCAAGATAGCCCAAGTCAAGATGTGACTTGCGGCATTTCATCGTGAAAATTTGTTGGTCAGTCACATCCTGCCCTGCTTCCTTAGTCACATCGTTCACGCCGGGAGTCGGCTGCGAAAGAGGGGGGGGGCTTTGCGATCCCCGCGTGGGGATCGCTCTGTGGGTTGGATCGCTTGGGATCGCCTGAAAAGGTGAAAGCAAAAGCAGGTGAAACTTAGCTGTTAAAATCAGAAGGCTTCAGCCTGCTGTTGGTTTCACCTGCTTCAGCCTTCTGAAACCATCTGAAACCTAAGTAAAATCAGAAGGACTTCAGCTCGTAACAGTTGGGATCCAGTTCGGACTTGGGACACTCCAGTTCTCAGGGATCCGGAAGTGAAGCCTTCCCATTTGGATGACCCGGATTCTCACGTATGCCATATTGCCTTACGTGGTTTAGAGTGGTTTGGGGGCTCAAGATTCCATGCATGGAGTGTTTGGCGTAGCTAGGACATGACCAAAATGGACCAAAAACCAAACCTCCCAGCAATCGGAAGCTCGGCCTTGACAGATCGCCATCCGCTTTGGCACCGGTACCGGTGCCTGCGGCCTGATGCAGGTACCGGTACAAGCGGACCACTTGCGCCAGGAGCTCGGATGTGAAATGCACAGCTCGGCTTGTACGTTTGATGGGTTCTTGGGACGAGTTGCTTGTACGTTTAATATCTCTGACCGCTTTTTCTCGTTCAGAAGCATTTTTGCGGAGAAAACATAGCTGCTACATGCTAAATAGAATAGGACGTAGTACGGCGCCGTACTAGTAACCCGATGTAGCATGTGCTTAGCTCACGAGTCCCATCCAGTCCCCCAGCCGGGAGCTTCAAAACAAAGGTATTTCAGATGTTGGGATCATTGGATCTTATGTTGTACATGTTTTTTCGGTGCGGCCAAGGGGAACGGAAAGAAGACACATGTCACACATGTCCTATACCAGTCCTATACCATGTCTCTCTGGTTTCTTTCGGGTCGCCCAGGTGGAGGTTTGCCCCGTTTGCCCGCACCCAAGGGGTGAGCGGTGGCCGGCCACACGTGGAGCATGCCATCGCACTTCCAAGAGTTGAGTGATGATCAAGACGGGACCTATTCCAGAACCCACATGGGGTGGTTAAAACCTCCTCAGTGCCAAATATATCCATATATCAAATATCATTATACATTATCGTTGTATGTATGTGTATTTCGTTTTTCATCTACAGACAGATAGACCCCCCGGCAGTGTTGGTGAGTATTTTCTCTCGCCCAGAGACCTTCGATCTTCATACGGGACCACGTGACACGCCCCACGTGACACGCCCCACGTCGACCGGGGACAAAAGGCCCCGAAGATTTGGTGCATTTGCCGAAGAAGATGGCGCAGGAGCGACTCTGCGGATGGAGGGCAACGCAAGCTCGTAGCAAGTCACTCTCTCGCCACGCCCAACATGTAGAATTTCTTTCAACTTCGTTTCATGTCTTTATTTCCAAAGCACCTTGTTGATCCTTGTTGTGCGTTTCGGATGGAATCCCAGTGCTCCGATTTGCCCTTGCCTCACTTCCGAGAAAGCACTCGCAGCGATGCATTCGCGCCTCATGGGTGCGAAGCTTTGGGGTCGACCGGAGGCATTGGGCGGCTTGCCCCCGCTGATGCTTTGCACCAAAGCAGCGGCACATTTGGTGCTGGTCGATCCCGCCACGCAGCGCACGGTGGAGGTGGACGGATGGACGTCAATTGAAATGAAGAAACGCGCCACACTCTGACAATTGTATTCAGTTAACTCAGTTACCACGATGGGAAGGATGGCGGTGGAACAGCATGGCGAAAAGTCCGAGAAATTGTAGGTGTTTGAACAATGGTTGTTTCCCTTGACTGCGGTGACGAAAAGGCTCAAGCTGCATCGCTGCTGGGGAGGAAAAGGTTTGGGGGGGAGAAACATGAACCACCATGAAAACAACGAGGAAAGATTGGGAACGGCTTGGTCAAAAGTTCAAAAAATTCGCAGGTACGCCAGACTGATCAGGTCTGGTTTCACTGCCAATTGCGAGCGTCTTCGTTGGCAGGAGACTTGCAATGGCACTCCTGCCCCCTGCTGGTGGAAATTTCTTTCAGGGTGGAAAGCGGGGGGAAAAGTAGAAAGTCAGTAGCGGTGAACCCTTGGTCCAGGGGTTGACACACACAAAATCACACAAACAGCCGATTCCGGCGCAAGTGTGAAGGTGGAACTTTGTACAGAAGAAATAGCGCCAATATTGGCGCTGCGAAAAGACTAATAGCCACCTAAAAAGCTTTAGAAAGACAGACAAAGCAAACAAAACAAAAGCAGACTAAGAGGGCAGGAAAGAAAGATAGGGGTAGATACGAGGCCCACTTAGTTAAATGAAAGTAGATCGCGAGCGGGACATTTGTCTTAAACCGCCCGGGTAGCTAGCAATAGGCTAGGAGAAACAGAAGGAAAGTCACCAACACACAAGTGTGTTGAGTGCGATTTCCTTCTGTTTCCCGAGTAGCGGGTGGGGTAGCAACGGAGGCCCAGGGGTAGGGAGGGGAAAAATGCATGATTAATTCATCCGGCCTGTGAATACTTAGCAGCACATGCACATGTGAATACTTAGCCGTCAAACATCTCCAAAAAAAAAGCAAGTGTAATCATGAAAAATGCAAACCGCTGCAAACCGATGCAAAACTGTCAGGTCCCGTGGTGAGGCCCGGCGGCCGTTGTGGCAGTTAATTCGGTGGTTGTGGCGGTGACTTCCAGTGGAGTTCCTGTGAAGGGTGGTGAGTTCAGTTAGTGCTTGCACGATGAGACAGCGCCCCAATGACGGGGATCACACTCAGCACCCGAGTGGGACGGCTGAGCGAAACACACTCTGACAATTGTATTCAGTTAACTCAGTTACCACGATGGGAAGGATGGCGGTGGAACAGCATGGCGAAAAGTCCGAGAAATTATAGGTGTTTGAACAATGGTTGTTTCCCTTGACTGCGGTGACGAAAAGGCTCAAGCTGCATCGCTGCTGGGGAGGAAAAGGTTTGGGGGGAGAAACATGAACCACCATGAAAACAACGAGGAAAGATTGGGAACGGCTTGGTCAAAAGTTCAAAAAATTCGCAGGTACGCCAGACTGATCAGGTCTGGTTTCACTGCCAATTGCAAGCGTCTTCGTTGGCAGGAGACTTGCAATGGCACTCCTGCCCCCTGCTGGTGGAAATTTCTTTCAGGGTGGAAAACGGGGGTAAAAGTAAAAAGTCAGTAGCGGTGAACCTTTGGTCCAGGGGTTGACACACTTCGAACTTGGGTTTTCAGTTAGACTCAATTGCCACGTTGGGAAGGAAGGTGAGGGAACGGAAAGGCGCATAAGTCCGCAAAAAACCGTATGGTTGAACATTGTTTCCGAGTGGCCTCAAGGTCGATCTGTACAGTCGATGCGGTGACGAGCGCAGCTGCATGAAAATGGGTTTAGGGAAAGAAACGTGGAAGGACCATGAATCAAACCGATCAGACTGGACAGCGTGGGCAACAGTTGATTGCAGGTACGTCGGCAAGCGTCCTTGCCGATATCCTCAGGACACTGCAGAGAGCTTTGTTAAGTGGAGCTCTGCAGGCCTGCTCCACTCCCCTGCATCAGTTGAAACGGCCTCTGTGGTAGTGGAAGGATGAAAGGTGGAAAACCCTTAGAACGAGGGTGTGACACACACAACAAGCCGTGATCGGCGCACAGAGCAGCGGTGGAAACATGGATCTTTTTCTCTCAAAAACCGCCTGCGCGCATGCAGGTCATGCCCTTTTTGGGCGTAAAGGTCCTGAGTGGATGTGCAGTGAAGTACGGTGGTGAAGACCTGTCATGTAATGCAATCTCTGAGATCTGTGGTGTGAAATCTGCGAAGGCTAAGCATTCGTCAAATGGCTGCGGTTAAAAGTTGATGGAGTGAACGATACACAACCGGAAAAAAGGTCAGAAATCAGTGGTGGGAATTCCATCGTTTATAGCCCGGCGGCTCGAAAATCAGGAAATTCAGGGATAAAGTTGAACACACGGAAAAACAGTTATAAAAGTGGAAGGTCGGTGATTTCCGGCATGATTTCTGCGCCTCCTTTCGGAGGGTCACACCCAGTACCCACGTGGGAAGACTGAGCGGTCCACACTTCGAACTTGGGTTTTCAGTTAGACTCAATTGCCACGTTGGGAAGGAAGGTGAGGGAACGGAAAGGCGCATAAGTCCGCAAAAAAACCGTATGGTTGAACATTGTTTCCGAGTGGCCTCAAGGTCGATCTGTACAGTCGATGCGGTGACGAGCACAGCTGCATGAAAATGGGTTTAGGGAAAGGAACGTGGAAGGAACATGAATCAAACCGATCAGATTGGACAGCGTGGGCAACAGTTGATTGCAGGTACGTCGGCAAGCGTCCTTGCCGATATCCTCAGGACACTGCAGAGAGCTTTGTTAAGTGGAGCTCTGCAGGCCTGCTCCACTCCCCTGCGTCAGTTGAAGCGGCCTCTGTGGTAGTGGAAAGATGAAAGGTGGAAAACCCTTAGAACCAGGGTGTGACACACACACACACACGGGGCGTTCGCTGTTTCAGAGGGGATTTGAAGTGGCTTTCTTGTTTTGGGGGGGATGTATTGTATGTAGCTGGGGCCATGGTAGGCAAACTCGCAAGGACCATATATAATGGCTGCAAAGAAGGTGTTCACTAATTTTAATAAATCTATAGTTTACATAAAATTGGATCTTCTATGTAAAAAGACATCCTTGCAAAGCAAGTAGGACCACCACAGACCGGATGAAACAACTCATCTATGTACCCACCCTGCAGACCCCCCCAGTCCTGCCTGGCCAGCCAATACTCCAACGCCCCGGAGGTGGCGGCCTCGGAGTATTGGAAGAAACCCTTCAGCTCAGTGGCCATCCCATCGAAGCTCACGGACCGACCCGAAGAGTGGGATGGGTGGGTAGAGTGATGGGTGGAGGCCACGGCGGGAGGGAAGATGGGACAAGACATGACCAGTTACGGACTCAAAAGGGTCGAGTTTCACTAAGGGGAAGGAACCCATGAAAATGAGATCAAACGCTTCCTCCAATCATCTCAAGTCTGTAGTGATTAAGCCCTAGAGCTCCTGTCCCATATCCTCAGGTGACCGGTGGTTAGACCCCCCTGGCACCCACCCCAACATACCCCAACCATCTTCGAAACGGAGGTGGGCCAGGAGTTCTAGGGAAGATGATCAATGTGGATGTCCCCCGGCCCCAACGGTCAGTTTTCACCACGGTCGCCGTATACGGTCGGTTTTGACCCCATGGCGATGGTCATACGATCAGGGCGAAGACAAGCTCCGCCAGGAGCTCTCATGACATCGAGTGACCGCTGTACAGTGTCTATGTGACCTTTCAGGACGTAGGTCCTCCCTAGATCTCCCTAGAACGGCCCCATGGGTACGTGGAGTTCACCACCTGTTTGCAGTGGAGAAATCCATGGTCTTCCGAACTCGAGGCCATGCCATCCACGTAACCATGTTAGTTCCAGGTGATGTATGTGACCTCTGGCATCGCCTAGTGATTGGGCACTGGGAAGGTGGAAGACAAAACTGGTGGTTTGAAGTCACTGTTTTGTCTTCCATTGTTTTTTTTTTTTGGTTGGCGCCGTGTTGTCCCATTCCCACCCGGGTCACCAACTATAAGTGGCAACCATCGCTGATCATCCATGAAGCAGCATCGTGTGGCGCGGGGGTCTCCAGGAATTCATCGTTCTGGACGTGAATGAGGAAGGCCCCCCGGGGCGAGGCCGGAACGGGAGAGCCAACGGTTCCCCAGAGAGCTGGAGAGAGAATTTCAGCTGAGCACTTGAACGTTTGCATATTTTTTGGGGTAGTTCACACTCTTCCTCCGCATTCTCAACGAAAAACCGCTGAACAAAAAAAGGCGCGCCGTCACCCAAAAACCTCCCTGCGCCTGCCGAGGCCACTGTGAGTTTGAGGTGGCTCGCGCCTCGGACTTTGGCCAAAACGTCCGGGTTCCCCGGGTCCCCGCAGACGGACGAGGACTGGTAGCTGGAGCGGTTTTGGTTGAAGGTGAGAAGGTGGGTCCAGCATGGTCCAGCAAGGAACGCATGAAGGGGTTCTATCCCTATAATATTACTGTATCTTTAATAATCAGTATTTTAATTAAATTCTATTTATGTATAGAAGCTAATATAGGCTAATTACAGTGCTAATGGTACAATTAATTACTGATGTTACTAGATTATTAAAGTATGGTGGTGTTCCCTCCAAACATGGCCTCCCTTCTACGAGGGGTGTATGGGCTTTCATCATGCTGAGACATATTTATTTGTACATACTCTATGTGGCTGCCAGCAGGGTTCTACTGATAGAGTTCTAAACTGGCGGACCCCACTAAAAGCACACATAATTAGACTGCACAATGGATGGAAATTATAATTATAAAAACTTTCATTGGAAAGAACCTGTTTTCAAAATTAAAAAAAAGTCAAAAAAAGTCAATCCCAAAAGTCAAAGTCAAAAAAAGTCAAATTGAAAAGTCAAAAAAAAAGTCAAAAAAAAGTCAAAAAAGTCAAAAAATTAAACGGTCAACAAAAAGTAAAAAAACAAGTCAAACAAAAACTTTGCATAGGTAAACAAGTCAAGGAAAAGCTTGTAACAAGGCAAATTGCAGCCTTTTTGCTTATGGCTTATGGCTTTCAGTCTATTAAAAATTCTAGAACCTTTTTGGTTGTTCAACTTTCACCTTTTCCAGCCCCAAGCCAGCCCCAACCCCCTACCCCAGAGTCGCAGGATCCCCAGCCCCAGCCACTGTCCCAGGGTCTCTTCAGCCCCAAGCCAGCTGCTGCTCAAATTTTGGGGCAGGTTGCTGCCAGGGCCAGGCGTTGGGCTGGCTGCGGCTGGCTCCTGGCGGAGGGGTCAGGTTGAGGTCGAGCTCAGGCAGGCTACAGGCGGGCTGGGGCATGCGGGGCTGGGCCGGCAAAAAAAAGTCAAAAAAAAGTCAATTGGAAAAGTCAAAAAAAAGTCAAATGTGCGGATCCTAGCCTTGGCGGATTACTGGAGGCAACAAAAAGTCAAAAAAAAGTCAAACGTGGAAAAAGTCAAAAAAAGTCAAAAAAAAGTCAATAAAAAGTCGAAAAAAAGTCCAAAAAAAGTCAAAAAAGGGCAAAAAAAGTCAAATGTGAAAACCAAGCGCGGATCCTAGCCTTGGCGGATTACTGGAGGCAACAAAAAGTAAAAAAAAGTCCAAAAAAAGTCGAAAAAAGGTCAATTCTGCTCGCGACTCTGGGGCCGGACAGGGCTGGGTACTTGGGACTCTGGGGTGGCTACCAGGGCCACCAGGGACAGGGCTGGCTTGGGGCTGAAGAGACCCTGGGACAGTGGCTGGGGCTGGGTAGGGGTCCTGCGACTCTGGGGTAGGGGGTTGGGGCTGGAAAAGGTGAAAGTTGAACAACCAAAAAGGTTCTAGAATTTTTTAATAGACTGAAAGCCATAAGCCATAAGCAAAAAGGCTGCAATTTGCCTTGGCTGACTTATGAGCTTGTTACTAGTTTAGTTCAATGTTGTTGTCCTCTTTGCCTGTGTTTCCATATATATATATATGCCGACTTTCTTTTGCTCCTGAGTCGCTTGACTGGACATTTTTGTTTCTTTTTATTTATGTTTGATTTTTTTGATTTTTTTTTTGTATTTTTTTGACCTTTTTTTGACTTTTCAATTTGATTTTTTTTGACTTTGACTTTTCCAGTTGACTTTTTTTGACTTTTTTTTAAATCAAGGATTCTGGCCTTACCATATGAAAGTTTTTTTATAAAATTATAATTGACAATTACGAGCTGATGCACGCTTCTATCTAGAATCGCCCCAAGAAATCTCTTAAGTTCTTAAGCCTCAAGCAAAGGTAGTTGAATCATGTTCAATCGGACGTCTTCCCGATCACCTTGTCCATCAGCTTCAGTCGCTCACGCTGAGGATGAGCGCCTTCTCGTGCGATCACACTTAGGCCAGCTTCATGACTGTCGCGTCATCTCCGGTGGCCATGTGCGCTTTGAAAGGATTTGTGCGGGGAGAATGCATCTAGAAAGTGGAAGAACATCCAACGTGCAGTGGGACGAAGTAGTAAATGCTTCAGAGGCTGGTTTTGATTTCGGAGCAGGGCACCTTCCCGCTCTTTACATGAGCCGTGAACCACTTGGAGATACTTGGAGGCTTTAGGAGCTTTCCTAATCACAAGTGTTCAACCGAGCGCAGATGCCTGAATCACAACGCATTCCAAAGCAAATGTTTGCTTTGTCCCTTTGTGCATAGATTGCGGATGCTGTTTCGAACACTGCGGGATGTGTGATCAGTGTGTCACAACATGTCCCTGGTCGATTGGCTGCAGAAATGTGTCAAGACCGGCGTCGAACATTTGGAGGCGTACATGCCACCCTTTTTATGTTATTTTGGGGTGGTTTTTGGCTCCAGCAAGCGTCTATAGTTTAGTTGTTTTATGTGTTTTAATCGTTTGTTGATTCAGATGAATGTCAACCAATGCCAGTGAATGTCACGTCCTTCAATTCTAGCACACCGACCACCTAAACTAACCTCTCCAGCACCAATTCCCGTCCCATCCACCACACCCTTCTGGAGCTCCTCTTCCACCAGCTCCTCGAAGCTTCCGCCCGCGCGCGCGCGCGCTCCGAACCGCAGGCGGTGGGAAGCTGCAGGTGGGTGATTCGGTCCTGGGCTACGACCTGCGGACGCTGCACCTCATGGGCTCGGGGCACCTGGACGGACGGAGCCAAGCGAAGCGTCGAACGGCGCGCGCCGGGAGCTTAAGGGAAGCTTCAGGGGGAGAGGAAGGGAGTTTGGCTCATGGTCTTGTGGTTTGTGGAGTTGTCAGACTGCAAGAGATGTCAACTATTGGAATCATCCTTGGTGCTGCGAGGAGGTGTTATTTCGAGATCATTGGAGGTTGTCTAGCATTTTGCAATGCAAGCAGATGCTTATGGCACCGAAGCCAGCAGCAAAAGCTCTCTATCAAATTGCAGCTGCACTACCACACCGAGTGACCAAGGAAGCCGAGACCAAGACAGCACAAGCAGAGCGGAAATCCAAGAGGAATGTTGAGCAACAAGAACATGAACCACTCCTACAGATGCAGCTGTTGAGCCTACATATGGCACTACATATGGCATGACCTGGACTGGAATCACTCAGATTGGCGCCAGCTCATCAGAGCGAACCAACAACCAGCAAGAAACAATGCCACAACCAATTCATCGATGGTATGGGCGGCTTGCATTATTTGAAATCGTGGCCGACACGGGCGTCCTACTACAACAGGACTAGGATCACGGACTGGCTTTATATATCAATCACAAGTTCATGAACACACAAAACAAGAACACGACGGCTACTGCACAGCAGCCAAGAAGTTCAACCTGCACCCATCGAAGACAAGGAAACCCACCAACGATATTAAACATACACGTACTCAAGCTTCTCTCCGAAATCTTTTGCCGACTTCGATCTTCTGCACTTCTCTACCAAATGGCTATCAATGCAGGGAAACTGCCTACAGCACAGAAAAGGAGGATGACAGAAGCTCGTCATCACCAACTACGCTTAGCACAGCAAACCTGGAGATCAATATCAAAGGCAAGGGAGGCGATTAGTATTGCATTTTCTCGGCAGAAAAAGACATTGCGGTGGCTTCAGAGTAGATGGCACAACCCCCAAGATGTGTTTTTTTGGGGGGGCGGGCTGGGGGTCCAAATAAACAACCTTTTGGAGATCGTGCCATCTACTGTGAAACCACCAATCTTGGCCTTTGGGATACCCACTTTAGAGGAAAGGCGGGCGTGGGTCGTTTGAGAGGAATGACGGGCATGACCATAAGGCGTCACATGAAAATGTGGCGCACACATTTTACATTGTTGATGGCCTCTAACCTACTAGATTCCAACCAAATAGCGATGGCCTCCAACCTCGTAGCTTGGCATGGGGTTCAGTTTGCACTTCTCTTAAGGAAAGTGTCATTTACGCATATATAAGCCAAGACAAATATATGTGACAATCGGAATGACCATGATGTTTTCTGTTTTGAAAGTCCAGAACTGTTCCGGAAACGATGTGAGACCACCTACATATACTTTGGCAATGAAATCAGCAGATAAATTTTTAACAGAGATCATAAAATTGCCACAGGTTTTACACTGTCCACCTCACACAAGCCATGATGAACAAACATCAACTCATTTGACCGGAGGCAAGCCTCAAATTATCCGAAGAACGCACCGGCTTTCTTAGATAGATATGATAATGCAAGGATCCTGCAGTTCTTCAGAAATGTGCACATTAAACGCACAGTGCATAAGACAAAATGTGGTTTTTGTCGGCATAGTCCCTTTTTCACCATGAGGCGAAGTTACTTGGGCATGTGCTAGTGACGATGATCCTGCAAGGCAACATTCTTGAACCTAGGACTGTGAACAGGGTGAGCTATTGTCATCGCTCGTGTGGTTGTCCCAGGCGAAACTGGCCGCATCACACATGTGTACAAAGACTGTTTTTGATTTGGTGACGCATTCTTTATATATATATATACGACATCTTTCTGAATCTATAATGCAGCCTTAAACCAAACATGTTACTTTCGTGGTTTCACCTTGGCTATGCCAACGCCTTCTTTCTTTGACATTGCTTCATTGCAGGAAATCGCTTGGAAAAGAACAGATATGATATGCAACTATGTTTACATGGAGGCAGAGTGAGGAAGACAGACAGGAGAGATGAGCAGAGCACTTCTGAACAAAGCTAGGAAGGTCTCACAACGGTCAAACAGCGGCTGGTGAACGAAATGGCGTGCGTTTCCCAGCGGAGCGACCGCGTGTAAGGTGTGGACGATGAAGAACTTAGTGCCGCACTGGCCTCAGCAGTGGGAGGAAATAGAGTGAGGCAATGGGCCTAGGCGCTGGTAAATACAGTAGTTTCAGAGTATTATATAGATGGCACAATCCCCAAAAGGTTGTTTATATGGACTCCCACCCAAAAGACACTTTTGGGTTTGTGCCATCTCTACTGTAGATCACAACTGTCCTCCGCCCTTTTGCAGTCCAGTCGGGAGGGCAGCGCATCATCGGTGAAGGGGACCGACCCAACAAACTCGAAGCCAGCACCCTTACCTGGTGGGAACATGGGTTCCAGACCATGTACTGTAGCAGCCAAGGGGCTCCTAGGTTTCAAGGTTCTGGATTTGGTTTGTTGACAAGTTTATACTTTGGTGGGGAGGTTGGACTTTGATTGGACAACTCCCGGGGCTTGTCGGGCTTTTTGAGGCGCTCCTCGCATGTTTCACTGCGCACGGGCATCCAGATATCGGATCATATCGATGGGCGAGAAAAACTTTGAAAAGACTACTATTCGTGTTCATCCCGTGCCTGAAGATTACACTCATGAAGAACCTGTTTTTGCCCATACGCTCTGGGTGATTTCCAGGTGTTTTCCAGGAATGTGACTGGGCCTTTGGGTCACGCAGGTTCCTTTGGAGGTCTACTTGGTGAAGAAGAAGCGACCAGAACGTGTGGGCACTTGGACTCTTGAAGCGTGAAGCGCTTCGTCGGTCAGGATCACCCTGGGTCTCAATGGGTCTCACACCAAAGGGCCTGACATGCAATGAGTGTAGACGGGTTAATGGCTGTTTGTTTGCAACTTACTGGCCCTGACTACTAGTTTTTACGGCAGTTTTCCATCACCCCTCTCTTGGCCAAAACCTGCGAATACTACCTTGGTGAATCAAAGTTTTGATCCGTATATTATACGGTGTTTATTTCGGGCAGATGGAACTTTGGCGGAACTGCTACAATGGCAAGGTTTACTGTCCTTCAGTCAATCCACCCCACTTCCAAGAAAAGTCGATTGCTGACTGGTGAGACTCGTTTAGGCATTTTTCAGGGCTTGGATGTGGCCAGTCCGGCCACCCTCATTCCCTACGAGTTGCACCAGTCTGAATGTTTGGAGAAGTCGGGACGCCGCCGGGCCGACCGAGGTGCTCGCCCCAAACGCCGGCCTGGCAAAGGCTCCCGGCTGGCGCAGCTGCGGCAGGCCAAGGCAGAGCATCGGTGGAGAGTGAGGGCGCTCTTCAGCTGTTGGCCTTGAAGTTCTTTTGATACATAATGTGTAATTCCTGCCTTGGCATGCCATGGGTGTCACAGGTGGGGTGGGAGGCTTCGAGGCTTAAGCTTAGCTTCGCCGCGTCCACCGAGGCGCAAGAGGCTTCGATTGAGAGTGCCTTACAGGCAGAGGCCGAGGTGGCTGAAGTCGCCGAGGCGAGGAGAAAAAGGAGAAAGCGGCGTTCAGAAGGTGATCCTGGTTTTGCAGATCGGGTCTTTATTTCTCCGAGCTGGGTGAATCCCCTTACCCAGACGCGACGCTCCATGGGACTGCCATAGGACTGCCGATCAGTTGGGGTGGTGCCAGGGGGGTGAATGGGGCGGCATACATTCCAGTCCCGTGGAGTGTATGGGTTATAGTGGGGGAAAGCAAATCCAAGCTATATACTAGTAATCCTTAAAGTATCTTTGTGTTCAATGGGGAGTTCCCAACCTAGGGTCACTGCAGCCCAATCAGTATTCTCTACGGGTCATAATTCGTCGACTTCTCAGGAGTTGTGACCAGTGGACGCATGGAACACATGTTGGGCGAACTGCAGTAGATTGCAGATCGGCTTCCCAGAGGTGGCAGATCCAATTAATGATCCGTTCATCCAACCAGAGGATCCAGAGGATCCGGTCATTTTGAGTTTTGGGACTCATTCGTTGCCTACATGAATCCTGGCTTCGCTGGATTGGCTTCCCAGGGTCCTATCTCGAGCCTTGACACTCTTTGGATGTGACTTGCAGGCGGATGGAGCAGAAGAGGACGAGGCGTTTTTTGCGAAGCGAGAGTGGAGGAGAGGTGGCTCCTACTTACCCTCTTCAAGCTCAGCATGTCTCAGACGACCCTGTCAGACAGTAGGGTGACCTGGGTGGCGAAGGAACAAAGTGATTGCGCCCATGCTTTCAAGGAGTTGGAGAATTAACCCAAGTGGAAAATTAACCTGCATGGGTTCTGTGTGATCCGGATGTGCATTAAAGACCTAGTTCTGTTCAAGCACAGTTACCGCTGCAAAGAATCCTCAGGAGGTACTTGGCCTCACCAATATGCATTCACTTGCAAAATGTGAAATTGGCAAGGGCCCAGGAGCAGAGTGCATCAAAAAGGGCCACGAAAGCCATGGTTTCAATTTGGATGTGGCAATTGATTTGGTGTTCCACGGTGCTGGCTTTACCATTGGTCAATCAAGTTGTGCCTGGTCAGCCACTTTTCTGGCATGTCCTTGGTCTAGTTGTCCTTATTCAGCAGCTCCTTCTTGCTCATTTTGCTTGATCTCATTCTCCCACTGCATCACCTGAGCACGAGTTGTTGAAAGGCTTCATTTCAGCACCTGAGATGTTGCCACTGTAAGCGGCAAAGCTCCCAGTGATGTTGTGGATGTTGGGCACCGCAAGAACTTGTGGTTCCCTCTGGCTGGCAAGAGCACATCTCACTCGTAGAACCTCTGAGAATCTCAAAGAGTGTTTTGTTGCACCATGTTGCATGATGTTGGATGTGACGAAGTTCATGGCTGAATTCAGATGTTTGTTCCGTTTGTTCCTAGGCACATGTTTTCTCATTCTTACGCTTTGCCCCAATAGTGGTGGTGGATGTGTGAAAAGTGGGTTCGAGGGGCCAGTCTCAACCTTGATGGCCAGTCGGCCTGTGCAATTGGATTCGTTGGGGAAAAGCATTTGGTCCTTCCACCAACCGCCACGAACACCCCAAATTCCAGATGACACCCGACACCCGACGAGACCCTTGGAGGCGATGAAGCAGGCAGCCGATCTTCTCCTATCACAGCTGCTCGACTTTCCGGCCAGGGGATGGGTGTGGTGCGATCGAAGCGACTGAACATATCACCGCCTACAAAGCCATTTCATATTCTAGTGACTCTAGTGGCAGCTCACACCCTTAGGCCTGGCATGGCTGGACAATTCTCAGCGCTCCGGGCTCACCTTAGCTTCATTGAATCGTTTGCCTTGGGCCATTTGCAAGGTTCGAACGCACCAACAGAAAGCCCCGCTCGAATTGGCCCAAGGAATGATTCTGATGTTCATTTCTTTGCCGTTCCCCAGGGTTTTGCATCGCGACGGTTTTTTCCTAGCTCTACCTGATTTGCGTGTTCAGTCTTGAGCCATCCTGAACTGAACCTTTTCTATATCGACCTATAGAAGGAGTGTCCTCTATTTTAGGCAACAATCCCTGCCCCCCAAGGGCCTTGCAGCGCAAAAAACACAAAACAGGGTCCTTTGGATCGTCTCTCCGTTCCGGACGTTCTGTTCCGGACCCGTCGTCCACGCCCAGCGCGGATCACGCTCCGCGCGGCGGATCTCGGCGATGGCCGGTCGCCGAGGCTCGGCGCGAAGCCCGAGGACACCGAGGCAGCGGACGCACCCGAGGCAGCGGAGGGGGGCTGAGGAGACACAGGGAAGCCCGCCAGATGGGACCCAAAACGTGGCCAAAGACTGGGGTTGGATGGGTAAGGACCTGAGGACAGTTCTTGAAAAAGCCCTTGGAATTGCTGGAAGTGGTGCAGTATGGTGTAGTAGTTGGTGTGGTTGGGAAAGTCCTGCCAGCCATGCACATTTTGGTGTGCTGCATTCAGGAAAAGCATAGCTCACAGCTCCTTTGACTGCGATGCTGTCGGCTCTTTATGGCTCAAAGAGCTTCATATGAGGCCACATATAGATTCGTCTAGATGCCAATCTCCTCTTCCATCTGCACGACAACCGCCTAACTAACAGGTGACCAGCAGTGGAGATCGACCACAAAGCCTCCAAACACGGTGTCCCCATTTCGTCAGCGCCTAGCGTGATAGCATGGAATGATCCTGCGCTGGTTCGGGTTGCGCCATGTCCTTTCCAGATCTCTACAAGACCCGAAGATGCAAAGCCCCTTGGCATGCCAAGAACTCTATCCAAGGCCGCTCCTGGTGTGTCTATAGAGTGAAGCATGTCAAGTTTTGAATTAGTCAGATATAACGCTATGATATGACTATGATACTAATGCAACTATATTGCCAGGGTATGACGCTGCGAGGTGCCTGTGTTTTTGTTTTGTTTTTTTCCCCTCAGGCTTTTGACATGTCTGCCACCGGCGCCTGACGACGTTGGACGTTCTGGGCAACTACCCATCTAATTGTGTTGATGGATGTGTGTGTGTTTCCTTCAGGCGATCATAGCACAAGCGCCTTGCAGACTCTTGGCTAGGGGGGCATCGCGTGTCTTCGGGGGGCCGCGTGAGCGAAGAGCGCTCCGGCGACGAAGCACATCAGATGGAGCAGGATGGAGCTGGACAATGGGTCCAAAACAAAGGGCGCGCTCATCGGTTCAATGAAATCGACCAGATAGACAATTGACCTGTGCTTGGTTTTGGATTTCCCTGAGAGGTTTTCTCAAAGGTAGTGCGACTTGTGAGCACAACTTTGAGGATGACCACTAGGTGAACCTGAGACCTCATGAGATCTAAGCAGGTCCTATTTGTTGTAAGAGTTGCTGGATGGTTTCACAACTATAGACAATCTGGACATCTCAATAACACACCCCAAGAACCATCCAAAAGGGTCTGGTCCTGGGTATCGCAGCTCTGAGGCTTGGGTGAGTATTGCACGTTTGGAGCTCAGTGAGATCTGGTCAAGGAGGGGCTTCGCACGCGCGAGGCCCTTGTTCACTCATCAGCAGGGAGGATTTGGAGCTGTTGAAGCTCCATGTGTAAGTTGGGACTATGGGCAACCACAACAGCAGCAACCACCAACCACTTCTTGTTTGTTCTTCTTTGTTCCACTACGGAGATCATGATGGTCTTCACATCCTTCCCCGTGTCTCCCGGCCAGGCCCCGGTGGCCCCGTCCCTCCTGAGGTTCGCGCACACTCCATCTGAGCTTCGGGCCTGGCCCTGGCCGACGGAGGTGGCGGAGCATTGGAAAGGCGCGGGGAGGACGGACGGGGGAGGGCGGGCAGACGGTCTGGCGAGGGGAGATGACGGCTAGACGTGCGATATGAGTAGTAGTACTGTAGTTGTAGTTGTAGTTGTAGTAGCAGGAGTAGTAGTAGTAGTAGTTGTAGTAGTAGTAGTGGTAGTGGTAATGGGGGATCGTGAGAGAACACTGGACTTGAATTTTAAAATCATGAGAGTCAGAACTCAGACCCCATTTGTATAGTTTGGTTCATGCGCATGTCTTTTAAGATGTTCTAGTCAAGTTTTGGAGATCTTAATGGATCTTATTCTGCTTCTAATACTGCAGGCCCACTTAGAGATTTGACCATATTTGACCCAATGCTTGCACCTGGATACTGGAGGGTCGGAAATTTAGGCCTTTTACAACTCGATCAAGCCATATGTCCCCATCCATCCATTCATTCTTCATGCAATCAGGACGTTTTTTGGAACAAACCTACGAAACCTGCAGGTTTCCCTCGTGGAGGTTAGTTGAATACGACGCTTCAGTGGATGAGATGGTGGATCTATTTTCCATTTAGACGCCTCTTCGGAGACGCCTCCATGTCGTTTCCATGTCGTTTCCATAGAAAGAGGAGTGCACCACGCGATGTGCACTGCGGGACCTTGCGGGATGTGGACTGCAGGTCAAGTCTCTGTGGGCGTGGTGGAGCATGCCATGTTTTGGGATTTGCCACCTTCTGGCACCACAGACGTGGTTTGTAACCGCTCCTTGCACCATGGAGCGACGGGGGCTTGGGAAGGGCGTCGGGTCGGGTCTCGCTTGGCCGGCATTTCTCGAGTTGACGGACGAGCGCCCGTGGTAGGCTTATTAAGGGAAAGGAAAGCTGGAGAGGTGGTATGAGTGTTTTCCGCTTGCGTCACGTATTGTGATGTGGCCCTACTTTGTTCGTGCTCTTGGAGATGAAGCAGAACTGTACACTTATGTGTTTAAAGGATTGTTCCAAGTCCTTGCTCGACTAGTGTGCTTGCGTGGGCTGATACATGAGTTCTGCAGAGTGAGTGTTCTACTTTTTGGAACTTTCAGACTCAGCTTCAGTGGACAACGAACTCTCATTTCTCCCAGTAATTCGTGGTTTGCTCCTCATCACGGACCCTCAAGCCTTGAGGGTGGTGGTTGGACACACTGGCCTTTGGATTTTTTGGATCTTCGCCAGTTCCTTTTTTTTTGGGGGGGGGGATGGGGCAACTTCCAAGACCCGAAGAAAGCGGTGCTTCTTGGTGTGCCGGCTGGGATGAAGGTGTGATGAAGAATGAGGTGTTCGCCGCACAATCACATGGCTGGAAACCAAAGATGAACGGCATACGTAGGCGCAAAGGTGATGGCCAGGCGCACCTGACACAAGCAGAATCGTTTTCAACCCATGCAGCTCCTATGTGACATAGGAGTTGCATGGGTTTCAACGATTCTGCTTGTATCAGGTGGCATGGCCATGTCACCAGCCATAGGGCGCCACATTGGCACCAGCGTTGACAAATGACGAGATGCACCATATGAGTGAGTGCTAGTTGAATCATGTTTCGGTCGCCAGCCTTTGCAGCGTCATTCGCTGGGTGCGTTGTTTTCGACTTGCGCAGAGCTTGGACATGTTGAGGAATGTTGAGGCCAGCTTAAATTTGTTGAGACCATGTTGTATATATATATATATCTATGTACGTTGAGAACTTATGTTGAGGCTTGGACATGTCCTTCTTAGGCTTACTTAGACTAGCCTCCCAATCCACCCCAAATATCCTCAGCGCCCTTCTCAGAAGGGTTATGGAACCCTGAGGTATTCTTACGGATCTTGGTCCGAATGTTTTCCTCAAACAGTCTCCTGTGCTGGAGAGGTCTTCAGACATTGGAGTTTGGCTCCCAATCTTGCCCATGGTGGCACAAGAATCACCAACCCCCTGTGACCTTTGCTTCACCTCAGGGCGTTCTGGCTGTTCTCTGACCATGAGGCCCAAAACTTGAAACGCGTTAAACACATCCAAGTCCTACCTCACTTCTTGGTTCCCCCTCTTTCATAAGTCAGTTCCTTCTTGTTTCCTTGACATCCCTTTTCGGCGCCAAGCGAGCGCCCGGCCCCTCTGAGGCTCGACGGTCTTGGGCAACCCCTTCGGTGCGTGCAGCTACGCCAGCGAGGGCGAGCGTGCGAAGCTGGCGCCGGCGGATGAGCAGGGCTGGAGGGTGCAGGAGCATGAGGTGCTGGTGGGGGCTTTCGATCGATACTTGCAGGTGGGGGACGAATGGAGCTTGGGAGTTGAATGGAGCTGAACGGAGGGTTTGGATGGGTTTGGAGAGGTCGTCGGTTTAGTCAAGGAGAACTGGGGTTGGAATAGATGGAATAGGATTTCGTTCGGTGCCGAGCAAAAGTTGCAGCAAAAGACCGTTTAGTGAAGTGGGGCTGTTGGGGTGTGCATAATAGCCTTGATTTGTATAAGCCAGATGAAGCAAGTGGAAAGGAGGATGAGAATCCACGGTTTTGTGTGTGTTTTTTTGGGTGAGACACTCACCAAGGGCACTGGACATGGTTTCTATCCCGAAGGCTTTTGCAGTTGCTGTTGAGGTTCGGTTGATTTTTAAAGGTCCAGGTTGTGTGCTGGTGATTTGATTCGGCCCCCCCCCCTTGGCCCCTCTCGACGACATTCCGCACCCTGCGTTCCGCTGAGCGTCCACGCTGGAACGGGCTCAGGTGGTCTTGGACACCACCAGCTCCAAGCCTTTGGAAGAGGAAGTCCTCCGCCGCGCGGCGAACAGATCAGGTCGGTCCGTACTGGGCGTAGGTAGTCAGAACGGAGCCGTCCAGTGACACACCAGGACGTGGGTTGTGAGGGCTTTTTGCAGGGTTTTTGGGATGGTTTGAGGACGTGCTGGTTATGATGGTTAACATCATCGTCAGGAATTCGGAGGCTGAACCGGAAAAATGTTTGTTTTGCTCCTTTGTCACGAAGAAGTCCGATGATATTTTTCTTTAGAGTGCGTGGTCCATGCCTGGGCTTGTTGAGAGTCTAGGTTTGCAAACACTATACCCAAGCACTCCATGCATGCCATAATCCATATATACCTACATTGACCCTGAAAACCACCCCAATGTATAGGCATATATGGCATACATGGAGTGTCTGGGATATATAGATCCAGCCAGTCTTTGGTGCACTGGAGTTGACCTCTAAGGTCTCCTTCAGCGGAAGTGATGGCGTACGTTCGATCCGACCACTCTTGCTTGGAATTCTGATGCAGTGTGTCGGTGTGATTTGACATGAATCAACAGCCCACTTGGCACTTCAGGCTTTGTTGGTTCGGACGACCTCCTCCTAAACCATCAGTTCGGCTACAGCACCTGCCCACCAGCGCCACGACTTGGACCATTCCACGCACCGCAGCTCAGGCATCGCTGAAGCACCGTGACGCCAAGGGAGCGGTTTCAGTACGGGACAATGGGAGGAGCGGGACTGGTGGAGACTCCCTTGGCGCTCGGGGCTAGACTGGGGAGATGTTAGGACTTGGTTGCATGTTGGTGGCCATTTTGCTGCTATACTGTATGTGTGCAACGTTTTTGTTGTTTTTCTGTTGATGATTTGTCGTTTTGAAGGGGGAATCCGGTCAAGCAAACATGCCTCTCATATATATAGGTGATAGGTTCGTTTGGTTAGTTTGGATTGTTGGTGAGGTCTAGTCCAACCGAGAACAAGATATATATATATATGTGTGTCCTCATTCGGAACTCTTTGTTGATAAACACTCATACATACAGTATCATACAGTACCTTCTGCTTGGGTGCCTCGCTTTTGCGCATTCGGAGTTCAAACCTTTATAGCTAGCTTCCACGCAAATGCCTGCTTTTGATTTCAACTGGAGTTTGGAGACAGGGAATTGTCAGTTGAAACCTGCACACACAAACACAGTGACACAGTGCTTTATTTTGAACAACACATTTGTAGTGTACAAAGGATCCCCCATACAACATGATACAGCATGTATTTGCTCATCCTGCTTTGTCAGAAGGGAGGAGTTAGAGAGCATCGGGCCATATTGAAACCGGTTGAAACATATATAAAAAATATATAGAGGGTCTGTGGAGTTGTTGAGTGATTCTGGAAAGAAGGACTGAATGCTGGTGGAGAGCGCAAACCTAAAGAAGCATACTGGTTCACCTAAATAAGTTGGCCAGATGGAAAGTACTCTATCTACTATCTAAATCGGTGTTTTTGCGCGAAACCACGCATTTCCTGCCACCCTCTCGCGTTTGGATCCTGCCGAACTCAGCCCTAACCACCCTCTAAGGAGCAGTCCCTGCAGCTGTCAGAGGCCTGGCTTCAGTACCGCCCCGCGAGGGCTCAGGTGCTGAAAGCGCTGGAGTCCTTAGCCTCCCGCGTGCGTGGGGGCCAGCGTTTGCGGCTGCTGTGCCACTGTCGGCCGCATGTGGGGGCCCGAGCTGCGGTGGGGCGAAGCCACGAAGCCAGATGGGTGGAGTTGCTGTGGGAAGGGGCCCGGGAAGGGGTGAAGTCTGAAGCTCTTTCATGAATTATTGACATTGATATCATTGATATCTAAGAGATTTGAAGCTGGAGATCGGGTACCTAATGGTCTAATGGTTGGGGGACTGGTTGCTGAGAGGTGCGCTGCCACGCGGAGAGCCTCAAACGCTACCTGGACCAGTTCGCTCTGGAGAGCGCCTCACCGTCCTCACCGTCGCGCCCCGGTCCAGCTTGGCACAGTGGGATGGCGACGCAATGTTTTTTTTTGTCATTTGTTGATTGATCTTGTATGATTTGGTATATTTAAGATACTGCAATCGAAGATTCACAGCAATGACTACAGTATGTTTGTTTGGATTTGCTGAATTGGTCAAGACTTGACAAGTGAACGTTCCCAAGTAACGGTCTTAAAAAGGGTATATATAAATCGATCTACATCCACCGATTCCACCGGAGATCGTCAGATGTTCCAAGAATGTCGCCTAATCAAGCTCATAAGACTTCGCACAGATTTGGCAAACGATTTAAATGATATGTAATGATATGTGTACGTATATAATATATAAGTTCTATTTTTCCCGAAAGCACCTGCGAAGGGTTTTTCCTTAAGCACTGCTGCCTATTTCATCTTCCTTAATCTCTTTCTCTTACTTCATCTTCCCCACTCTCTCTTCCTTACTCTCTTTCTCTTACTTCATCTTCCCCACTCTCTCTTCCTGACTCTCTTTATCCTACTTCACCTTCCTTACTTCATATTCTTTACTAACTTTCTCCTACTTCACCCTCACAACATCATCATCTAATCATCACCTCATAGGTTATCATATCATATCATGTTTTAATATCATATCACATCACATCAATGTCAGATCATATCATCTCATATCATGTGATAAAATAATATCACATCACAACATAACATATGAAGTAGAAGTATCAGATCAACAATATCAAAGTACATCAGAAGTAGATATTGATAGGTAGGTATTGATAAGTGGGTATAGACAGGTAGGTGTAGGTAGGTAGGTGTAGATAGGTAGGTGAAGATAGGTAGGTGAAGATAGGTAGGTGTAGACATCTTCCTTAAGACACCTACCCAACTTCACCTACCCAACTTCTTCTTTATTCTTCTCTTT